TACGCGTAACTCTGCGATAAATGAGAAAATATCGACGCTTGTAGGTTTGAGTTTGTTTGAGTTTGGAGCAATGGATATGTTTCGAACGAGTGGTATGGTGGTATTTTTGGTATTTTTGACTGGAACATCAGAAGTATTTGAAGACGTTTAAGAGGAATTCAGGCGGAACGGATGGTGGCTGGTGAGGTTTCCATGTTGAATTGTCAATATAGACAAAATTAAAGCCGATATGTGGATCACTGAGTCACTCTGTATATGACAGGAATGAGGTGAACAACGGTGTATACTCGTGAGGAATACTGGACAGACGTGAGATTAAACGGCGATAAAGTTAGACGATTAAACTCTAGATTTTACTTTGTACCACAATAGATTAAAACGTAAGACGATAATAATTAAGGACCGTCGATAAGCGGGATAAGATAAGTGAACCACAAGTCGTTCATGGGCAAGGGCCTCTACTGTATCTTTTAATATATTCTTTGAAATTCATTTTTTGTTGACATATCATATTGACATCATATTGTTGACAAAGCATCACTATCAACTAAACTACGCTCAGAGTCATTTTTTCGTTAGCAATGGTTTATCGTTGCTTACAGATATACCCTAAATTATCTATAACAGTGGCTGCGTTATCCTAGAACGTCTTTTTTTTTATTTATATATATATATATATATATATACTGTGACAACAATTTTTTTTAGAAATATTGCTTCAATAGGTAAATGTAGCACCTTTTTTGTAAAAAAATATTATCATATTGACTAGATGGTAATTTTTTGATTTTCCAAGCATTTTTCATAATATCAGGAAAACCCAGGATAAAACTTAAGAAAAACGGTAAAATTTACGAAAATAATGTTTTTATTATTTTCAACTTTGTTTTTTGTTGTAATTCAGTTAAAAATATTCGTAGAGATTTGAAATTTGGACAGAAAACTTATATTTATTTTCTTGACGCCGTAAAATTTTTGAGCAATTTATGGACATTTTAATTTTGCAAATTTTGTACTTAATTTTTATCCTGTAAGTAATCTGTAGATAAAATTGTTAAACCAAACAGAAATACTTCAGAATTTAACATGAGGTTCATTTAATGTCGTACTTTATGGTAAACAAAAAAAAATTTAAGTAGATGCTAACTGGCTTATCACTTTTAAGTATTCATTAAATTTAAACCATTAATATAGTAAATATTGTTGATCAAAGCGCTTGCTTCAGGCTTAAACCAAAGCGCTGCTTAAAATAAAAGTATTTCGGGCTTGGTCATCTTACTTTTAATAATTATTATCATTATTATTTTTGTTATTCATATTATCATTATATTAATTATTATTTATTTAATGTGAAAAAAATAAATTTTACTATTTTACTGCATTTACAAATGCAATATATCTAGTCTTCTAACCTAATCTAACCTGACCAAAGCGGTGGTATTCAAGGGTAAAAATTATTCTCCGCCATATTAACCTCCCGCCATGGAATACGAAGACTCCCCTGAGCAACACTATTAACTGAGATTCACTCAGAATCGTTTTTTGTTGGCAATGCTTAAATTTACTTAGGTACAGATATACATTAAATTTCCCTCAATATCCTATTTTCCCAATTTCTCATCTATAACATTGGTCCACCCATCGAGCGAAGTATGTTCATCTTTTTTTCTTATCGATCATTAATATTAAACTTAAATATTTTGCTCCTCCCTTCCCCCTCATAGTCATGATCTGATGACGCCCCTAGACGAAACTGAATTCATTTTATGTCAATTTGAAATATTCATGAGAAACTGTATAAAATATAATTTTTCATAAATTGTTCAAAACATTTTTATGTCGTCAAGTATCAGGCCTTTATTTTATAACTAGGCATATTGCTTATAATAACTATATAGAAGTCATTAAATAATAAGTACGCAATAGTTGCATCTACGTAGTATAATTATTTACATGGTAATAAATTAATTTTAAAAAGTTTAAATATGGTTACCATGAAATTAGATTCAAATTGAATCGTGTAACAGAGTCGAACGGTGATTACTGATAAGCAATATAGCTAGTAGTATATAGTCAACATAATCAATTGTCGTCTCTGGATTATTTACTTTGTTCTTCCACCAAAATTAAAAAATAATATGTATATTTTAATAAAAACAAGTAAAAACTGTGTTAAATACCTAAAACTATTGATAAAATCAATTTTAATATCTAATTAATTCTATATAGCGTTAAATATTATAGGTGAAATTGGGAATATTATGCCTGATAAATCCAAAATAATAAAATATTTGATGTTCTGAAAATTCAAAATAATGCATCTTTAAAGAACAAAAATGAGTTTCTTTCGACAGGAGACCGGTTTATCACTATTGTAGGTGGATAGTTGGGAAGGTAGGATACTTAAAGCTATTTAATTTATATCAGTAAACGACGATGAACCATTGTTAATAAAAAAAGATTCGGAGAGAAGTTCGATTATATCTATATATTTTGAAAGGCTGTAAGTGCTCTAGCGTTAATGATTTTTCAATATTTTTATTTTCAAATGAGACATATGTATGTTAAATATTACAATTTAAACATTATTATATCTTATTTAAAAATTCAAATATCGAAAAACATCAACGCCAGGGCAAATGTTATCTTCTTATCTTTAAGTTTGGTTATAAAATAATTTGCTTTAATATTAAAACTTAACGGCACAAAATGTGTCCTATTGAATGCAAATTTACTATGTCTTTTTTTTAAGAGGGAGACAGTAAATGTTGGTAGACGTCCTCTTAAGGAATAAAAAAGTGATGGCAATTTTACAAAGTATAATACTTTTAGTACTCACTGTTGTCATATTATCGCAACATAATAGCAAAAAAAAAAATGTTTACATACAATTTGCAGGTAATGCCCAGGCACACTCAGCACCCCCTGTGCGCACGCCTATGACGGAATCATTATTTTCATAGCCTATAGGTAAGGTAACTTACCTATACACCCCGATTCTGAGAATTTTGTTTATCGACTCGGTATCTGATAATTTTGATTGGAAAAGCATAAACTCTTAATATTCATTTTATTGAAAAATACCTACCTCCTTGTTGTATATCACTAAAACTAGTTTACGAGTAAAAAAACAAAAAGGAAAAGATTTTCTCTATATTATTGGCCATCTAAATGATATATTAATTTTGTAAGCAGTCCTGTTCGTACAATTGTGCATTTCGAACAATGAAATACGCACAAAATTGAAATGTCTATAAATAGTTCAAGAATTACTCAAAAGTTTTTAGAAAAATTACCGCATCTAGAAATGGCAAACATAATCAGTCATAATCAAAATTTAAAGCCTCTACAAATATTTTAAATTGAATTACAACAAAATACAAAATTGTAAATAACAAAAGAAATAGTTTCGTAAATATTCCCGTTCTTTCTACGGTTTTTTTTTTTTTTTTTTGATTTTGCTAAAATTATTAAAAGAACTATACAGAAAATCAAACAATTTTCTTTTACACACCAAGCATAAAATTCAAACAAAAAAGATTTTTTGTTAGTTTTTTATTCTAGCAATATTTCTGGTACAAAAGTTTGGGGGAAATAATTTAAAATAATTAAATCTTACACCATAAATTTATTCGTTATATTTTTAGTTTATTTTCGTATTTTCCCAATTATTTTGAAAGTCTATTGGGATATCAAATTACAACGCCTAGAAAAGGCAAATATAAATTTTTTGTCAAAATTTTAAGCCTACAAATATTTTTAACTGAATCTCAACAAAAAACAAAAATGAAAATAATACGTTTTGTTAATTTTTCCATATTTTTTACGTTTTTTCTTAGTTTTTCCCAATTATTAAGAAAACCTTATAAAAAAAATTAAAAATGACTTGTTTGACGTACCACCCCAGTAAAAATTCCTTTCAGAAAAGGTTCTAGACTTGAATTTGGAGTAAAATTTCTGGTAGAAAAGTTGTTCCGGAAAACAAAAAAAAATAAATAAATAAACAGCATCGTAAAACCAATACATCAATAATTAATGCTATTACTAAAAATGAGGTCAAGGGGGAGATTTATCTTCCTATAATCTCCCCGCTTAAATATGCCACTGCTTAAAAACATAATATTTCGTATTAGTTTACCGTTGAGTAATAATTGTTATTAGTATTATTCTTCGTTGACAAATTATCATAATAATAATATTAAAAACGCTGTGTTCATGTGTGTGTGTGTGTGTGTGTGTGTGTGTATGTGTTGCATTCGTGGATATGAAACTAATCATAACTTAGTTTTTATGACAAAGAACTATACGTTGTGATACCGTTAATTTCCTGGATCTCCAATATGAAATAAAAAACATCTCATATTTTTGATATTGCAATTTTCAATAAGGGTATCTACCTAATTATTTGTTGGTATAAACAGTGTTTATTATTACCAGACCATTTGTTAACAGTAATGCAAACAAATATGCATATATTATTATAGTTTGCGTACAATTTTGTTTAAGTTTATTGTACAATTTTATGTTATTATTATTTGTCGACCTTGGATTTGATTAACGCACGCGTATACGCATGCGTCACTTAAATAACAATAATTATAATATTTTAAAATCGGAGTAGTTATAAATATATAAGTTGGAAGTAATGGTAACGATAATTATTATTATTCATTATTGACGAATGAAAAAAAAAATGTCAAAAGGGTATAGGAAATTATCAGTTCTCAACGACTGACATGACGTCGCCATCGTTATGTTTTACACTTATATGTTATAATTTAAAAACATTTAATTATTATAATATTATTATATTGGTCATAATCTCATGAAACAAATGGACGTCGAACGTGTATTTGCCTTCTCTGCCAATCCTTAACGGACAATATATTAAAAACGTGTTCTCGTATTTATACTTCTAATAGTACTCACTACTCAAACCTATAGCTTGGTTTTTTAAACTCGATTGCAATGCTAAAATAAACGCGAAGAGTTTTACTAAAATGGCTGTAGAACGGAAGATACGGAACGAAGCGATGGATTTATTGGTTATACTATGTGTTTTAAATTTAAGACGTAATGAAGGATCTATTAGTTTTACTTAATATGATGTGTTTTTTTAGATTCAGATCGTAGCAAGGGATTTTTTTGGGGGTTGAGCCTCTGGACAACTTTTCGAACAGAAAATTTCCTCCACTCGACAAATGACAAGGCAATATTTTTATTACCTTTTGGGTCTAGTTAGTGCATTGAGGAGGCCAGTTTTAATTTTAAAAATGATTTTCATAATAATTGGGAAAACCCGGAAAACAAATTATCGGAAAAGTGGACAAATATTTTCAGTGCATTGTAGATTGTTCATTTCATCATTTACAATTTTATGCATTTTGGCGAGTTTCAGGCTATTTACAAGCATTTTATGTTTGCGAGTTTTTTACTTAGTGAGTTTTATTTGGTGGGTACTATGTGAATATATTTGTTTTTTCAAACATACATTGAAAACGTTATAAGTTGTACTTAGTAGTAAGAAAAAAAGTATGATACATAAAGTTATTCAATTTATATCTATAATCAACGTTAAACTATTGCTAACGAAAAATCATACCAAACGAAATTCGGTTATACATGTTTTAAAAGGCGTTTATAATACCGTAATATTTATGGTATTCATCAAAATTTGATATTAAAATTCTTTAAAAAAAAAAAAATACTTTAATTCGAATTTTGTTTACCACTAAATACTACTCCTACAGAACGTTCTTTTATACTTTCAAAATATTACAACCACCCTAATTTGTTTGTATTTATTATAAGTACAACTTATAATAAACCTTCTGTTAAATTTTCAAGCATTTCTATTTGGTTTAACATTTTTTTTTCCATAGATTACCTACCAAATAAAAATTTTGTCTAGAAAAGGCTTCGATTTCTGTAAAAATTCGAAGTCAACGAATATTTTAAACTGAATTACAAACAAATAAAAAAGAGCTGATACTAGGGACGAGTGAGGTCACTGTTGTAGGTGAGAAGTTGGGAAGATAGGATACATAAGGTTGTTTCATTTATATCTGTAAGTAACGATAAACCATTGCTGACAAAAGAAGATTCCGAGCACAGTTCAATAATACATAATTTGAAGTGCCGTAATTTTTTTTAACCTAACCTTCCTACGTTTTTTCCCGATTATTATGAAAACTAATTCAAAAATCAAAAAAAAAAAAAACTGTATCATTAAAAACAAGATTAATAATTCAAATAAAGAGGTCTCTTGTCGTTTTTCAATTGAAGCCATATAATCATAATAGTCATATTTGTACTAGAAAACGTGATAAGTACTTATTTAAAATAACGAAATTGTGAAAAAATCCTATTTTTTTTCCCGGTGACAAAATATTCTTAATTAACTAAATTGGGCCTAAATCGCACAATCCGAGTTGGGACAGATTTACATAGATTGGGGCAAAAAAACATTTCCTTGCCTTTTTTCAAACATTTGTCCACTCAAAATAAATTGGCCCTGATTTGGGGTACTACCTCTAAATTTTATTGGCCGGTGACCCATTATCAGTCTTGCCACTCTATCGGTAGGCAATTATTTAGTATACAATAAATTGTGTTTATTTCGGTATCCAAAATATACCATGATAGCCATCATTTACCTAAAAGGCGCCCCTAGACTAACAAAAAGAAGCCCCTATTTCTTAGAACGTTGAACCCCACTTCTCTCAATTTATTTACCAATTCTGTATGTCTTTATACAAATGTTATTTAATAGATTAATTTAAAAGTATTTTAAAGTCAATTGAACTTAGGTTAACCTAAAAAAACAACTAAACTTTTTACAACCGCATCACGTAATTTTATATATTTCACATGCTCATGAAAGCTACTGTTCTTTTGTAAATTGATTCGAGGTACTTAAAACTCTCAACCTCGCCTATAATTTCGTATTTTCGTTAATTGTCTAGTCCTATTTCTCTAACTATTCTTAGTCCCTCGACTTCAAATGTTCTAATATTCAAATATTCTCTATTCCTCAAGTCTACTCTTAACTTATTCCGGATTTTCTCTTATCAACGTTATATATTCTGCAAAACATCATGCACCAGGATACCTCCTTTCATCTGATATCTCCGCGCACATTCGAGGTAGAACAATCTACCAAATTCTTATTTAGAACCATTCATACTATTTGATAGAATTTTACATAGGTTCAATCAAACGAAACCACATTTGTTGATTCTTACGACTGGTAGAGGTAGTATTCTGATCCTCTCCCACAAGACACAAGGAGCATATTGGAAATATTATAAATACGTAATATTGTCATACATAAAGATAGGATGTTTATAACCTAAAAAACACACACAAATGCCCTAAAAAAAATATGCAAAAATTCTCTAAATCTCCAAAATATACACTTTAAAATTGACTAAACAAATCTACTTATTTAAGTAAAAACCATTTAATTTAAAAATAATCATTGGTTATATATATAATGTAGGTGCGACAATGAGTATCAGAGTAATTTAAAATATGAATTGTAAAATTAATAGACAATACCTAGTAAACACTTAAATTTTAAGTTTAATTTACAGTAAAAAAACATTATTTAATAAAATCAAAAATTAAGTGCTAGGGTCCATATATGTGTATGATTAGGTTACAGAATTGTATGTATGACTAATTTTCACTATTTTAGTTTCTAAGTGGAGCGAAAAAGCTTATATTTTTGTAAAGATCAACGTGAGGAGATACTTTAGGGAGGTCAATTTTCATAAAATTTGAAAAACCGGAATAAAACATGGGAAAACGGGGAATAAAGTAGGAAAACTGGGAAAATCGGTACAACATTAAACAAATATTATTAAACAAAATATAGAAAACCTATTTAATTATTTTACCATGACATATATTGTTGACAAAACATCATTATCAACTGAACTTCCTTCAGAATTGTTTTTTCGTAAACAATGGTTTATCATTGCTTACAAGTTACAGGTATACATTAATTATCTATAACAGAGGCTGCATTCGTCCCCATTATCCTATGACGTCTTTTTCAACTCGTTTTTATGTGAGTTTTTGTAATATAATCGAAATCTAAATTCAGTGGTTGAAAGATTTTCTCTCTTTAACAGAAATAAAAAATGTTTACATCACTCTATAAGAGTTTTTCCTAGAGCATGCTTTAAACAAAAAAAGGAAAACTGATACAGCTATTTAAGATTTTGTTTAAGTCTTTTTAATTGGAAATAATAACAATGTGTCATAAGCACTGTCCTTAAGTACAATACAAACACATAGTTATGTGTAATATTATGTAGTATTATACTATTATAAAGTAGTATTTTAAAATATGTAAAAATCGTACATATAGTAATATATAGTAATAATTATTAAATTGTTACAAAGTAAATATCGAAAAATAAAATAAACTTTGTGTTGATCGGTTCGAGTAAATGGTAAGTATAAATTGTACGGACTAGTGGATTATATTTATTTTGTACAAACACAAAATAAATAAATAGGTAGTCATCAACATGACCATTGTAAACGTCGGGGTTTATTGGATCGATCATATAAAACCGTTCCAATTTAAAACTTCACAAAAAATGTATTGTATATCGTTTTCGGATCGATTGGATCCAGGAACGGATTGAGCTCAAGTATGACCCTAAGAAAATATTTGTTTACAGCACATTGCAAGGTCACCTAACTGACATAATATCATAACACAAATCTGGAGCTTTAGCTGTAGTCATCTTATAAGTGATTTTAATTTTATAATATAAAATTAAATTAATATTTATTTAAAACATATTGATAAGCTTATTTTTGAGATTATATTGTTTAGTAGTAGAAATAAAATAGCTCCTGCTATTACCTAGACCAAAGCACGTACCTACTGCAATCCAGGTCTGATTGGATCCATATGTGGGTGTATATAAAGATAAGTTTTTTTTATTTACGTTTATAAAATGTTTTTGGTTACGCATAAATAATAAGCTCGAAAACTTGATATAAGGATCATATAGGTACTGATCTGACAGTGTTATTTACGTATATTAGTAAATCGCGTAAAATTCTAACAAAATTTACAGGGCATTTTTGATTCCGTTATCGAAATATTTCGGTGTAAATCGAGAAATTACGACTACTCTGTAAAATCTATATTATTTTACGGATCTCGCGTGATTCCAATAGCGTCTATAATTACACTTTTAACCTTTATTCAGTCGCTCAAAAGACCGCGCGCCGTTTGACCTTTCTCGGTAGTCCGAAAAAAAAAATCGTCTTTGGCAACGGTCGCGGTACGGCATAATAACCGAACAATATATTACATGACGTTATATTTTACCGTGACGCGTCCAAATAACGGCGAAAACGAAAAATAGCCGACCGGCTTTCGATAACGGCCGTTATCATACCAGTACGTGTGCTATTTTGGACGAATATAAAGGGTGATTCACACAAGGGCTTTTGGCGTTTAAGCGTAACCCGATCATGGACTAGAATGGTGTATAATTAATATCGATAAAAATACTCGCTGATGAGTGATGACTATACGCCACAAAAAGTCGAATTAATTCAAAAAGTTTAAAAGGTTGTAATTAACCAATAATTGGCGTTATTGGTGTAATGGTGATGTCTCAATTTTATTTTTGTGTAGTAATTCAATACGAAATAATCGTAGAATAGGAATTTTTAGACAAGGTATACTTTGGTATTGTACCAGATATTAATATCTAAAATACTTTTTGGTTCTTTTCAAGTTATTATAGCTACATGAAATTTTTGAATTTTTTTCCATCTATATTTGGGTAACATTTTTGATCGGAAAGGTTCACCTTGGTAGAGTCGTTAATAAAAAAATTAATAAAACAACTTGAGGAAATGTCGCAGATATTTTTTCTTTTTATTAGGCATGTTTGAATTTCAAATGTGGACTAAAATTCATGTATGATAATAAGTCATGTTACGATATTCGGTGCTGTCTTTTTCGTTTTACCATTTTCAGAACAGTATTTTATTTTCTAATATTTGAATTTCTATCGGGTTTTTGCGTCCGACATTGATTAGAACGTTAAATAGAACTCTAGTGTGAATCCCCCTTAACTACTGCTGATAAAGCGCGTGACGACGACGACGACGACGACAAAATTTGCTGCTCTCGTCGGCTGGCGCGTGTTTAGCGCGGATTGCGCGCGCGCCCGATTCTCGACCGTTGTGGTGGTGGGGTGGGGTGGCGCGGGCGTGGCACTTAACGCGCGTAACAGCCTTGGGCTCGTCGTCGTCGTCGCCGTCGACGACGACGCCGCCACCTCCACCGCGCCACCGTCCGCCACCGCGTTCGTCGTCAGCCGCCACCGCCGTAGCGTAGCGTCGTGTGCGCCTCACACGCAGTGTGTCTACCGTTGCGTCGTGCTGTACCGTTGTCGTTGTCGTATCCTCGTCGCCCGATACTCGTCTCCCGCGAAAATTATCTCGTCGTTCGGTTTTTATCGCGCGAGTGCATCGAGTTTTTGTGTACACGATTTGTTATTGTAACAATTTTTTATTCCGAGGACGACGTCTCTTCTGATATCGAATTAAATTCACGCAGGGAAAAAGATATATATTTATATATTTTATTTTGTTTTGGTTTCTTCGTCGTCCCATGCACCGTTTCCTGTCGTAAGTATATTCAAATCCGCGTGCATAATACAATATTATATAATTGTTGTTTATAAATCATTATAATACACCATAGGCAGTATTTTTTCTGGGGGACACTTTTTCAACCTATAATGCGTTACCAGATCGACCTACAATATTTAAAATATTGTCTGGATGGTAGTTTTTTTTTCTTTCTGTAAAACTAATGTCAGAGCTTATATTTTGCGTCGAGTAGGCACTATAAGTATAATATTCATGATAAGACGTTGTGGTATTCGGAATACGCTGGCTATTTTTAATACCCAAAACCAACTAGTTTATCATGGGTCGATTGTTGAATAGGTAGTTATGTCTGCGATATTATCGGCACATTATAATATTATTATCTGTTCAACCAATAAGCGTCGTGATAACCGATTAGATAATATAATATTTTCAGTATTTTTAAATAGAATATTGGGAAAAAACATAAAATCGACGAAAACTGCCTGCATATTATTATCATTTTATTTTTCTGTTTTTAAACGGTTTGTCCATTTATGATTTTTATACCAGAGGTATCTATCTCTTTTAAATTAATTAACGTTAGATAAATGTTTACTATATTTTAGATTTAGATAAAATAATATTCCCCTTCAGTTTTCAATTATTTAAACTTTTCTATAAAATAATCCGAGAGTTACAGTTTCCAATGTCTCTAATAACAATATCATCGTCAATTTATTGTTTTGAAGTATCTTCGTTTTTTAATAATATTTTGAACTAGAGAAAAAATAATAATGCCTAAATAATAGCTAAACTATAATAATTTATTATCGCTAAAAGTCAGAATAAAATCTATAATTATTAATTTCTAAAAATCACGCTCGTTGAATATTCTTAAAATGTATCGTGAAAACAGTAGAGAAGAACATTTCGGAGGGGGTCGTCCAATCTTTTTGAGTAGCCCATAATAAGTACACGTAATTGTTTACTTAAAATTATAAATGTTCGTTTCATTGACTGCCATTAAAATTGTTATACTTTTGAAAAATTGTCCGAGATGGTAGGGGGAGTTTGGACTTCTAGACTTCTCATCAGACGCTGGTGTTAGTAATACACGTAGGTACGCATTGTATAATTTTCATGTTTTTCTCAAAGCTATTCGAAAATGAATTTCAATAATATAATATATGACCTATGTATGTATCTACAGAACCGGGACGTTTAAAATGAATTGTAAAATTTTCCTGGAAAACAAATAATCGAAGAGCCCACTAATATTATATACCCGTACTATATAATATTATATACACCTAACTTATTCCGAGGACAATTTTCAATTACGTCCTTCGGGCGGTAAACTGTCTAAGTACTTTATACAAAACCGCCCTGTATATATATGTATACTTTCGCCGTTAGTACCTATTATTATGCGTATAATATTTACAAAACACATTGCCACCGAGAAACTCTTTAAGAAACTATATGTATACAATGCAAACTAATATAATATATTATGCTTAATTTACCTGCCTAGTGTATTATAATTTCTCATATTCAGCGATCGTTTTTAATATTACCCATAATATTATTCAGTGCATACTCATACTTATTAAACGAATTAATATGTGTATTTTGAAAAAAAAATAATAATAATAATAATAATAATAACGGACAAATATTTCGCGCGCACCCCGCGGCGACATATTAGTTCGGTTCACACGTGCGTTGCAGTACCGCGACACAGTACGACGACGTACGCGAGAACTTGGTGAATACAAAGTTTTACCTTACTAGTATTATTATTGTTGTTATTGTATCGTCAACAAGTGGTTTCTGTTTACGGTGGCCATTTATGAGCGTCTACCCCGCCGATACGCGGTACAACGTGGAATTATTGGACAGTATAATATTAATAGTGTAAATAATATAAGATGCCCCCAGATATAAGCGTCTATAGTGTCTACAGACGAGTTTAATAGAAGAAACAAAAAGATAGACGAGAAATTGAGAAAGTAGGATACATAAAGTTATTTAATTCATATCTGTACCTACGTAACGATAAATCATTGGTAACGAAATACGATTCTGAGCGAAATTTAATTAAACTATTTTCATTAAAACTTTAACTTGCCAATGTTTATAAAAAAAACATTGCATTACCTACGCAGGTTTTTTTTTTTTTAACCATCAAAAACAACTTATGAACTTCGTGTTAAATTTCAAATATTTTGGTTTAACTAAAAAAATATATTAACATAAATCGAAAAATAATACGCGAAATTACGTAATTTTTACAATTTATATTGAAGTGAATTTCAAACGTGTGTATAAAAATAAAACTACTGCATTTGCTAAACTTTTTTCACTACTAAGTGCATTGTCAATCATTTCTGATCGACCGAAACAATTCTATCCACATTAAATCAAGTTAAAACTAGAAAGAATTCGAAAATTTCGAATATCGAATAACAATTGTCAGAATGCTTTTGAAATTTTAAGTCGCCTAGAAAAGACTCCGAAATACAAAAAAAAAAAAACAATCTTAAATAATGAAATCGTTATTGCTGTAAACTATCCCGTATTTCCTACGTTTTTCCCCGATTTCTTCAAAAATGGTCTCTTGTAAGTTTCTGATTTGTCCAAGGTTTCTGGTAGGAATATTACTGATAGATAGAAAAAAAAATGTCCACCTACAACATTATAGTAAAACCAATACATTCCTCGTTACTCTCTGAATCTTAAATAGTATTATTTTGAATTCGTGTTCAACGATGATTAAAATATTTACTTAGAAGTTCTTTTTCACATTTCACATGATGAGACATAACACTGTGTCGTTCACGGCAATATGTAATAATAATTATATTACGCTGTAGTTAAAAAAAAATTAATTAATTAAAATGCACTTTTAAACGGACTACCAGTATTATACCTATATAATATTAAATATAGTAGTATACCTCTATTATATCCCTCATTGTACTTATTCGTACGCTTTAAAGGCTAAAAACAGTAGAAACCAATAGGCAGTGGCACAAACAGGCCTCATTTTTTTGAGTTATCAATTAAAAAAAAAAAAATTCTGAAACGGTTTTCGGGATAATAAATTACTAAATAAATAGGTGACCTGTACGACCTACACATATTTAAACCAACCATAAAACGTCTGGAATTGCAATACAAATTATAAAACTGTACGTATTATGTAGAATTTTTTAAAAAATATCAAATTTCGTTGTAACCCCTCCCCCCCCTTTGTTGTACCACTGCAGTCAATAGCTACTTATCTATACTATCTCTATTTAATAATATGCTATGAGTTGGTAGTTAAAATCAGAGTTAAAAAAGTATATTTCGTTTTACAATTTTGTACTTTTTTGATTCTGAACGAAACTTTTATCACGTGTGCCTTTTTTGTCTTTTCCAAAACATTTGCTCCGATCAAAGCTGTAGAGGAATATTATTGTAGAATTTCGGATCTAGTTGGTACATTAGGGAAGTGATTTTGTTTTAACCTTGTACTTCTCTTAATAAGAATTAAAACCCGAAAAAAAACTTCGAAAAACCGGAAACATTTAAGCCTCGCAGTAGGTTTTATCAAAATCGTTTTTTTCTTGTAATTCATTAATCGTAATGATATAAAGTGTACATCGAATATTTGGGATAGAATTTTGTACATGTAATATGATTTTCGAAATATTTCAGCTCTTTTTGAGTTATTTATATATCTTTTTGAGGTTGTACATTTTTTTACGACAACTTTAATTTTCTCTAAACCTACATATAGCCAGTCGTTTAAATGCGTTTTCGTTTAAGACGGATTTGTTTACACATATGTTTGATAACAAAACGGCAACGTGTTGAAAAAATCGGAAATTGTTTAATTATTTTTCATGTCTTCTTATTTTAAAATTCATAGGTAGTAATAGCTTAGCCGTTTTTGTAATAATATATAGGTGTACAATGTTTATTATGCTTGTACAATTAATAGTTTCTCTTTCGTACCTAGATGATTTATTATTGAAATAATCGTTTTACTGCATTTAAGCATAATAATCTGTTAAAAAAAAAAAATAAAAAATACGAATTACTGGATATAATGTACTCGTCACTCGCAATGGTGATTTATCTATCGGATTATTATTATTTTTTTTATTAGATTTTCTCACTTCCAATAACATTACGTGATGACAGGTATTTATTAGGCTATTAATTATTTAAAAATTATTAATACAATATCAGCTACTTGAATACGAAAATTTTGACCAGCGTTGCACCTATAATAATGCGTGTACTCGTGAAATCGAGAAATATGTCATTCTATTTTTATCGCAAAAGAAATTTTTTTATCGGCGACGGTGTGTTTTACGAGGTAATAATTATTAATTGGAATCTTATAATAATATTAATATTGTATAAGTAGCCTTGGCGCGTAAAGATCTTTTTTAAACGTCCGAGCGTCCGTATCATCGGTGACGTGATTGTATTACATCAGCTGCCGTTTCGGTTTTATAGACTACTTGTTGGTCGTGTTGTCCTTGCTTGAGATACCCTTTTAGAACTCCGTGGATGTAATTATTCTTCCGTTTTAAGACGAAATATAATATGCGACTGGTTAAGACTGGCTAGCGACTCTGGTTTTAATCGTTTTCGTTAAGTTTTAAAATAAATTTTTTTATACAAATATGATTTTATAATATTATAATTATACGCTAAACGTTTTATCTTTTTGACGTTTTTCGTTATTATTTTTAAACGAATCGCAATTATTATATTAAGACTGTGAATTTAAACCACAAATAAAAAAACTACTCTAGTGAATTTGATGATCTTAAAAAGTAAACAAAAATAAATGCATTAACGCATTTTATAAACGGAAAATATGGTGAGCGATTAGGGTCTACCCCCAGGGGCGTCTGCTATAAAGGGGGAGTGCCTTAACTATAGTAATTTAACTTGTTCATCGGGAGGGGACGAAAAGACATGGTTTTGCCCAAGATGCCAATATATATAGCGCCGGCACTGTTGGAGGAGAAAACATTGAAATGTAGTGAAATTATAAGTTTATAACGTGTATTTTACGGGAGTAGATACATAAATCGTAATATATTTTTATGTTCATGTAATATAATACTCCGTATTGAAAGTTTATCAAAAATTCAGAACAAAATTATAAAATAGACGTACAACGAGAAAAAAAATACCGAAACAAAATTTCAAAATTGAGTTCTTGTGTAAAGGCAAGTTTCCACTGCGATGTTCTCGTGTAAGTGCACGTATCTATCTGCGCTTTACTTGGATGGTCACAATAAGATTAGCGTGGTGACAAGGGCGATGACTTTTTAGGTAACCAAAATTTTCAGCCGTGTTATTATATGTTTAATCAAGTTACCATAACGTTAGATATAATAAAACAATTTTCGTGTGCCCTGCGTGTTCTTTTTGATAACGATGATTGACAATAAATTTAAAAAAAATACTGATACTGGAGACGGGTGCAGCCACTGATGTAGGTAAGAAGTTTGAAGGGTAGGATAAATAAGTTATTTAATTTATATCTGTATGCGATAATAAACTATTTCGAACGAAAAATGATAGAGCGAAGTTGGGTAAAACAAATTTTGAAATTCCGTAATTTTTGTCAAAAAACTAATGCATTAAACTCAAATTTACTTTTTAGACCACTTAGTACAAATTATAATTTACCTAGTGTTAAATTTTCAAACATATCTCTTAAGTCATATAATTTTATTAACAGATACCTGAGATTTCTAAGGATTCTGGTTGAAAACATCGTTTGCAAAAATTAAACCGGCGTTAAAACAATTAAACCGGGACATCTTGTTACTGTAAATATAAATCAATTTTAATATTTTGGTTTTTCCAAATTATTATTAAAATTACTTTGGATATCAAAAAACAACTTTCCTTGCTAGTGGCTGTGTATTAAAAGGAACAAAATCAATAGTTTGTCACTTTTTGATTTGAGAAATATTTCTGATAGTAACATAGTTAATAAAAATTAAAAACATTTAAATCAGTAATGCCGCAGCGTGTAGTTTTCATTAAATTTTTATTTCTGATTCATCCCAATTATTTAAAAAAAAAACACCTTTGAAAATCAAAAAATGATCTTTTTAATGTACCAACTTTACAAATTACCTCTGTACGTCGGAGCAAAATTTCTGTTTTGTTTAGAGACAAAATAATTAAAATTTAAAAACAAGCACATATAGTAAAACCAATAAATCCTTCGCTACGCTCCGAATCTAAAATAATAAAAATGATCATAATTCATATATATATATTCGACTTTTTGACAACTAACTTTCTGTGTCCAAAATTGATGAAAATTCTCAGTAGCTTCGTCTGGCTATCTATTTCCTTATTAGTAGTACAGTAAAACTTCTGTTAACGGTCACCTCTATGTAACGGTCATTTTTTGGTCCCATCAAGTGTTACGACTTAAAAAAAAAAAGACTGTTCTAAAGGACGGTCACATCTAAATAGCGGTATTATTTCCGGTCCCTTAAATGACCGTTTTATGGACGTTTTACTGTATTATGTTCTTTATACAAAGTATAAATGTATAAAATTAACATTTTTCTTCTGTACATTTCGACATTATAAATTTTAATTCCTCTCTTTATTTTCATTTTGTATACACAAAATATTAACAGAATACTAGTGACACGAGAATTCAAAAAAACAAACGTCAAGGCTCAATACCAATAAACATAATATTATTAAATTATGATCTTATCAAAATATATTATGGTTCTATCAGCATAAAATATTAAATAAGTATTACCAAATAAACCATTGGTGAACGCCGTTAAAATTTTCACAGCGTGTATTTACGAACATGTACGTGCACGTACAAATGACGTTGCAGTGAAACCTTTTTCATAATGAACTCAGTTTTAAAACGAATGGTCTGGTACTCATAATGTTTTAATGTTTTTATAATACATTTTCGAATAACGGTGGTGTCGCAGCTACCACACCGTGTTTCATTCAAAAATTTGTTATTTATTAATTTTACAAACCTTATAATAATTAGCTGTATGGCCTATGGTATTTAAACTTGACGGGATAATGTGTGTAATAAATGATGGTGTGTATAGTCGTGATGACGTACAAATTGTACAGTTATTATTATATACAATAACATAGCCAAAAACGTGTAATAATTAATAATTATTATAATTAAATCGATTATAATTCATTGACGAAATGATTTACGTATAATTAAAATTATATTATATGTATACGATTGTGATAGTTTATTAATCACGCTGTTTGTCACGTGATCGTTGACATTTGTGATATTGTATTTTAATTCTTTATTATAAACAATTATATATTCGAAATAACCACGAAAAACCGTTTACTAAAATAAAAAACAATTATATAAGTATAATTTTCGAATGAATAGTATAATAATAGTACCAATTTTTTGTTGTTTTTATACCGCGTTTGTTATATTATACTACAGAGTTTTCCAAATGATATTATGTTACAGTTCTGATGAATAATAGTGGGCGTATGCATGGTTATTTCATTCTCTTATGTTCTCAAAATCGTAACATATATGATTTGAAAGACCCTGTATATTGCTGTATATACACACGTGTCGTACAATTGGACGACTATGGTATGTATCGTGTCTGGTGGTAGTGGTAGTCGTAGTCGTTGTCGTCGAGTATAATATTATTGTTATTATTTTTTTTCGTTGTGTGTTTTATCGTGGAGGGGGGGGGAGGGCAAAGGTTATCGGTTCGCCGTCGCTCCGACCCCGACATACGTACGCCACAGTAGACGCTCTGGTATAATAATTTACGTATGCGCGAGCTCCGACAACTAGAAGCCGAGTGCTTAAACGTGTACCTCGAGATATGTTTTCGATATCTTCGTTATTTTTAATATTATAATTATTGTTTTAACCCCGTATCGCCGTCTACACTAATATTTTGAACGACCATTCTAGAATGTTACTTTTTATACAGATTTCGAATAAAACAAATTCTATAGATTGAAGATCTGGAATATCACTATTCAATAACTCTGGATAACGATGATATTAAACAATTTACACTTAAAATTTAAGAGTTCCGAATTTTTGTTCTTGACATTTTCTATCATGTTTATCTAGCTCAACAATCGTGACTTGTGACCAAACCCAGGGAGCTTCTCCAAGTATTATTCTGGTCAAATGATTATGCAGTAATAACTCCTGGAATGACGATTATTATTATTATTATTATAATTTTTTTTTTTTGCTATAAGCTATAGATATTCCGTACTTCTAGACACTCTGTACCTTTAATGTGATTTTTCAATGATGAAACATGACGATAGGTTGTCTCGTGCATGTATAATATTGCTCTCCAATCTCCATACTAATTCAATAACGGGTGTTCTTCGGAAGCTCTATGATAACATTATATTTTCATTAGAGAAAATCTCTGTGGTATCGTGTCTTATGGTCCTATAGATCAACCTATTTATGTTATAACCAATTGATAAACGTAAAAAAAAAATAAGTTTGAATTCATAAACGAGTTTACAACAAATGCTTATTTATAGCCATCTAAGCATTTTTTTAATTTTCATCAAATATCAGTGTACGAGAATAAAACGTTTATAAATTCGTCAATTTTATTAATAGTAAACACTGAACACTAGTAATGAGCACTTCCGAATGATTAATACTTAATACTAACGATAGTTATCGATAGTTTGGGTGAACTATTGAATGTTTCATTTGAATTGTTCTTTTTTCCATGACGGAATAGTTCTACTGGGGAAAACTATCGAATATTTCAAAAGAACTATTGGAATAATAGTTTTTCCCAAATAACCGAATAAAAACTATTTTAATAATTCGAATGCGATCAACTATCGAATCATTCGATAGTAAATTATTGTCTATTCGATCGTGCGCATCACTAGTAAATACCTACTAAACATTATAATAAAGTAAGTGACAATTTTTAATAATATAAAAAATATGAAAACGTCAATTTGTATTTAATAAACTGAAACGTCTGTACTTCATCTCATAATATAATAGTATAACATAATCAAAGAATCGTGGTTTGAGGTACGGCATTAAGGTCGTGGTTTTGATGAGCATTTACTTACGTACTTACGGTGATGGGAGGAGGTGGTTAAGGGTCATAACGGGTTGTTAGGTTATTCGTACATACGAACTTTTCCTCCGATATAGAAATAACAATGTCGTCGTTGACGTGCACATAATATATCATTTACCCACAGTATTATCTGGTGGAAATAATCGTCGCGTCTTTCCGAAGATCTCCATTCGAAACGTAATATTACTTGATATTTATATTTTATAACCGAAAAACAACCAAGCAACAAGAATAGTAATTCGGTTTGTGTACCGGGGCTGCAGAGGCGATCACGTCTGATATACGCGTTGCGATATTATTGTGATAATAATATAATAGTGTACACGAGCTCGTGCGTGTCAACACTTGCCCAGTGCAGCGGCGGCACACGATAAAACGCGCGTAAACCGAGTAGTCAGGATTCTGAATAATAAATTATAAGGTACATAATATACAGAAATCGACAAAAACAAGGTAATAAAATCGATGATATACGAGTTGAAAGACGTTACGTTTTCAACGACGACCAGGGGTAGAGACGAGTATCGTATTTTAATTTTCGGCCGTACGCATCCTCGTATAGAGTACCTATACTATAATATATAATATATGCTAGTGATGAGCATAGATGCTTTCGAAGCGTTTTAAGCAAATCCATATGTTTGAAGTGTTCATTATACAAATGTTTAAAACAATTTAAAAGTTCAAAAATTAAATTACTAATATGTTTTGAAATATATAGATATAGTTCCTATTCATTCTTTCAATATAAATAAAAAAAAAACTATGTCTATTGGGTATTATTGGATAAATAAATAAAAAAGATGTCCTAGGATAATGGGGACGGGTACAGCCACTGTTATATATAATTTAATGTATACCTGTAACTTGTAAGCATCGATAAACCATTGCTTACGAAAAAACGATTCTAAGCGGAGTTCAGTTGATAATAATGCTTTGTCAACAATATATATATATCATTTTATAGTAAAATAATTAAGTAGGTTTTATATATTTTCTTCGATAATATTTGTTTAATTTTCTACCGATTTTCCCAGTTTTCTTACGTTTTTCCCGGTTTTCCTACATTTTATCCCGGTTTTTCACATTTGCTGAGAAAACTTTTGGAAAAATCAAAAAATGACCTCCCTTATGTACTTAGTGGAATTTTATTTTAGAAACATTGCTATCATTAAAAGTTGGAGTGAAATTGTTAATTGAAAAGTTGTGCACAGAAAAAAAGAAGACCGTAATATATTTTAACTAATACCTACATTTCTTATATTTTCTCATCCTTTTCGGTTTTTCAAATTTGATGAGAAAATCGAAAAATGACTTTCCTAAAGAACCTTCTCTCACCGATTTCCTTTCAAAAAAAGTGTTATACTTACAAATCTGAGCAAGTCTTCTGGTAGAAAAGTTGCGCGCAGATAAAAATAAAAAAAATTAACATCTTTGTAAAACTAGCTTCTTCATGTCACTCAGAATCTAAAAATTTTCAATTGTTATTTAAAAAAAAAAAATAAACTTAATTTTTAAAACCAATAAAAACACATTTTTGCAACCCTGGATGGACACAATCGAATACTATTGAACTATTTCATAGACAAACTAATCGTTTATGAAAAAAAATGTTCAATATAGATTTTATTCGGTTATACGGGGAAAATTAATTGTTCAAATTAAATGTTCGAAAGTCCGCCCAAACCACCGGGGTAGTATGAAACTATAAACTATTTGGAAGTGTCCATTACTTACTATACATACCTACTGCAGTACACAAGAGTATATATATATATATAGAGAGAGAGCGAAACAAAAATCCGATATAGGAAGAGGTGAATGAGATGTGTACGATAATATTAATACGTCTCGAATTCTCGGCACGCGGCGACGGCCGGTGTCTTCTTTATTAAGTTCGCTCGGCAGCAGTCTCTTCGGGTAAAAAAAAAAAAAAAAAATCATTCTAATAACAATAATAAATAACCGACGCCGCCGTCACCACCACCGCGCCGCCGTTGATTTCAATATTGCGCGTTGCCACGTTTCACGTGTGTGGACTATTATAATATACGCGCGCTTATAATGTAACCGTGTGCGTGTGCGCGCGCGCGCGTCGCATATATATTATGATCGCGAACATACACACGAGCGATATTGTATTTTATACAGGGTGTGTGGCCATCGTCGATTTGATGATATCTAAACTCGTATCTTAACGTCAAAAAGATATCGGTTTTCTAATACAGACATACGTATACGATACGTCATACATGATGATATTATAATATTTTTGGTGCCCAGGCAGTGTAGATTTTCGTTCAATAAAACCTATATTTGTACTGTATAGGTTTTGATAAAGAAGTGAATGAACCCATTATCAAACTTTAATTAGAGAACATTATCCGTGGTATTTTACGTTCATTTTTAATGCGTAGCGTCCTCTTAAGTCAATTTTATATAGTTTTCAATACAAGCAAATTAAATTTTTAAAATCGCTAATTATATAGTTGCATAATACAATTATTACGATAATGCCGCTTTATAATCCCCTCATCTCAACCCTCAGAACGTCTATGTGGTGCAAATTATAATTTACCTTCATGTATTGAACCCGTAGAAAAAAATATTCCTGTACATCTGAACTCTCTTTTTACTATTGTAATAATTATTTTATATAAATGTTAGGATAACATAGTATGTTCTGTTCTTTTTAAAACCAATTATTAAAAAAAAAAAAAAAAATCGTGAGTCGCTGCAGTTTGAAAATTCAAATATATACGCAATATTAAAACCAGATACACTACAGAGGTGTAAATGCCCCCTAGAATTTTGTTCGACCCCTGACAAATACAACAAAATGTATTCAATAAGTGCGCATAATACTCTGTTATATTTTACATCGAAATGACCAATGAAAAAAGTGAGCCCCTCAGAAAAATTGTCTGGATTCGTCAATGTTTATACACCTAATCTTCATAGATAACAGAATCACCTTGTATATTATACACGAACAGCGGCTATGTATCATGGCAGTCCAACGCGATTTTATATTTTTTTGCTTTTTTTTTCTAGTACATTTACATTTATCGCCTTGCCCGGGGTTTCCTGCCGTCTGACCTCACGGGGGCCCATTAGTGTATATACTCATATATATGACGACTTAGAGGTACCTTTTTATTATTTATTTATTTGTTATTATTCTTTTTCCACGCTCGCTCTGTCGTCCGTCGTTTTTTCTTCTATTTTTTCTTATGCAAATTCCCGTCGAATATAGCGCGCTCGTCGAATATTATGTCGTACGCACGTGTGTGTGTATATTTGTATGTTCGAGACGACGGCCGCGATCAACGGCAATAACAATAAAAATAATGCGAAAACAACTATGTTTGAACCCATGTAAAAAAAAAAAAAAATAATAATAAATACCTGCCGTATCTTGTTATACGTGATGTTTTTTACCCCCTGCAAACGATAGGTACCGGTCGTATTATAGTATTATTCGAAACGGAATAATTATTATTATTATTATTGCTATTTCCGTGCTCTCGTCTCGCGTATATTAAAACTCAAACTTTACACACGACATGTGTAATATTCGTTTTAGTTAATTTGGTCGTCCAATAATAATCACAAAGACGATCGAAAAGATATTTGTATGTGTGGATATGTGTCCCGGTAACGTGCAATATAACCATGGAAATTTAGTCTCCTGAAAAAATAATCCCATATAAGTTTTTGCCAAGGGTAATGGGTACTATTACAAAGTAAAAATTAAAATTAATCTAATTATTAGAATTATTCTATTATGCCATTGCGTATAATAAAATTCCCCACAAATAATGTTAATTTTGGATTTAATGATTAATTATTGTATATGATAAAAACGATTCAGACCGAAGACTGTGTGTCATATCAATCAGATATATAATAACTACAGACATATTATAATGGATAAGAAAGATACCGATAACTTCGGTACTCAACTTTATAACTTATAAAAGTGGTAATATTTGTAAAATTCTTCAAGTTCTGTGCATGTTCATTTCTGTGTATTCGATACTACAGTGGTGTACTACAGTATATATAATTTTGTTTTTCTTTACATATTATTATTGGCATTTAATATTAATATGAGATTATTTTTTCGGGGTTTTTTTTGAAGACTAAAGTTCCAAGGTTTAAGCAAATTATTTGGCTCATTAATGATTCTCTCAGTACCTGCGTATGTTATTATTTCATATTACCCGGTTTCCGTATTGTATATGGGGCCATATATTCTTCTGAAAACCTTCTTTCCAAAGGTTAGTAATCTTATCTCGTCCCCTTAAGTTGTCGACCACGTCTCACAACAATATATTACTATGGATCTTAAATATGAAATATAGCTTTCTTTTGGTTTCTCTGGAGAGAAGAAGCTTAGAACTAATCATTCTGTTCATTGAATAATACCTTCGATTTGCCGTATTCAGCCTCAATCTTATTTGAAATAATTATTTCTAATAACATATTTAAAATGAAGACTTTTTTAAAAAAAAAATAAATTAAATGTATACATTATACATAATTACATGAACATAACGGTCAAATTTTCTTTGATAAATAAACAAATAGAGAAAAAAAAATATATATTTATATATTCCTTTGACCCGAGGCACGTCACTAACTAAAAAACGATTATACTCGTATTATTATATAAGTTATGATTTTGATAGAAATTCGTTAAATAATAATCTTTCCGGAATAACGAATTTCGTGCGAATATAATGTAGGTGTTTGAAGACGGGGCGGATTTTTAATATTATGTAGTTCTTGTCGTGGAAAATATATTTTATCCACATTTAAAATCGTTCTCGGCCGTCACACATCGCGCGTCCTGTTCGTGTCACCTCTATTATATTAACAGGTTGGTCCGGCGGCGACGGTGATGGCCTTTTCGTGAATGTGTGTGCCTGTGTGTAGCGGGACAGAGATTTCTCGTATGTATAGGTTAGGTTAGGTTACAGGTGTAGTTTTTTGTAGTAGGTACCCATGTCGACCGACCGACTGTGAAATGGAAAACAAAACACAATGGGACGTTTTTCGGTAGTACGAGTGGTGGTAGTATACGGTATGTGTATACGGTAAAATTGCTGTTTGTCGTCGCATATTGAACACCGGAAATCAAACTTATTGGACCCGCGCGGCACTGGATGGCGTGCGTATAGGTACGTCGAGCCGGCCGCCGTCGCCGCCTCTACATGTGCGTTATAATATCACAATGGTCGCAACGCGCGCGTTTACGCACTGTTGCCAAGTCTAAGTATATCATTATATAAATTATCTCGGGCGCGACTCATTTCCTATCTCGATGATTTTTTTTTTAAACGTGTTGTTTATGTGTATACATATATACCGCGTATTATAGTATAGGTACCTGTGCATAATAATAATAATAACAATATCGTATTTCTATGTATGTATGTATGTATGTATGTATGTTATGTATGTACGTATGTATATATGTATATATGTATATGTGTGTGTGTGTGCGCGCGCGCGTGTGTAAAACGCGACGACGTCGACGACAACGGCCGGTGGTATTCACATATCCGTTCGATTGTACCTACTACGGTAAAAAAAAAAAAAAAAATTGTATAATAATAATAATATACGCAAGTATACGACATCGACGATGACGAGACGTCCTCTATACACCTATGCCTATGTATACATGTACCTAATAAATAATATGATTTTCATTAAACATTTTTTAAGTGAATATCCGCCGTGTGTTCATTTCTCTCCTTACTTTAAAAAAAACTACGAGTAGATAAACCAAATCTACTTGAATTTCGGACTTCCCCAGTTACTCCTCTCATTCTACTAGTAAGAGTATTTTGTGTATAAAATATAATATTTTATTACAGTATCTATTAATTAAATCATCATTTACCGTTTATTTTCTAATGCGCATTTAAAATCTTACTCTATTGAATGGTCAATAAATTCTACTATGTGTCCATTTGGACACAGAAAACATAATAATAAAGAACATTACGCTAGTATACCCACTAGTGAATCTAATAATTAAGTAAGGGTAACATAACCTAACCTAACCTTGCAATTATTGCAAGGTTATACGTATAATTTGGTGCTCGATCAACGAAAGCCACAGACAAGTTAACAATTCTAACGAAAAAATTTCCTTTTTATACAAATTGATACTTTTCCGGCTGACGCGTGATGTTTGAAAATGTCTAAAACTAATAGCATCCCTCGCATCATGACGTACAATTCGTTTTTGTGTTTAAATTTAAAACCGCAAAGTTGCCTAACGGTCTACGGTTAGGACTTGTACAATTATCAATATAATTAAATGAGTTGGTAGTGTAGCTGGTACTATAGAATAAGTCTAACGCTGTGACGTGTTTTCAGAGGGGTGATGTGAATGTTATCGTTACCATATATACTATTCATCGTAGCAGTGTGAACGCAGGGTGTTATGCAATTATCCTTTATTATTAGTATTATTATTATTATTATTTTTCGCGAAATTGTTTTTTAAGTTTATAATTGAGATGATAACAATATTACCATACGAACGTTCATTATAATAATATATAGTTATAAATATCTAAAATGATAACGGCATATAATCGATTTTTTATTCTCGTGATATGGTTTTTATATTACGTGTCGTCTTTCGAAATGACGCACGTCAATATCTTTTTTCCAGTCGTATCATGTACGCCATTTTCATAATATAAGATTATCACTATGATGTGTGTTCGTCGAAATTATTATTTTTCGATTTGGACATTGCTGCATTTCCATAACGCCATTAAATGTTAACGATTATTGTTTCCAACGATGTATTTTTCGTGTTATGAATAAAAACCATCAATACGTTTAATGATGTGTTTCTATATAATCGTATAATGTATCTGATAGTATTTTATCATTACTGATTTTTTAATATTGTAATATAATTGAAATTTAAAATATAAACAATAATAATAGCACACCCATTATCTAACCATTTTGTCAACCAATTCGGTGTACATATTTTGCCTAATTAGATTTAAATGCGTACAAATCATAAATAATAATAAGTCTTATATTATGTCGAAAATACTCGTCTGTAAAAGTTATCGTAACGATATAGAAGGCCTTTAAAGTAGAACAGAGGCGACTATTGACTTGCTGGAAGACTTTACACGTTGCTCCATTTCGACCGATTTAACGTTGACTGTGAGGTGTTGTCGCCGGACACCCGGGCTATTGAACCGCGTTTAAATAACTTAAAGGCCTCATCGAATTGTACGAATTTCGTTTTGTAGCGCTGTAATTAATGCACTTATAATATATAGTGTATACACTCGTGATGTATCGCGCCTCGAGAAAAGACGTAATTTCAACAATTTCATAGGGGGTTTTTTTTCTACACAGTGAAACAGCCTTAATCGCCAAAACCACGCGTATATTATTACTACAGTTTCGAAAATCCTATTAGTGCGTTGTTTTGTTTTCCTCCGTATATACGTATTTAATAATAATTTAGGTAATAATAATATATAGTCGGCTGACCGGCTTCTCGCCATATCGCTCGTTCGAACACGCGAAATCCCACCGTGCACATCATTATATATATATATATATCGCGTATATGCTTGCGTGATGTGTTTGCGCCCGCGCGCGTGATATACCCGGTATATAATACGTATACATACACAAGACTATAATATAAATGTGTGTGTGTGTGTGTGTGTGTGTGTGTATATATATAGTATTTCAACGGCTGCTCGCGGTCACCGTTCGTTTCGCGGGCATATTATTGATTTCGGACGACCCTTTTTCGTATATAGTATATAATATATACGTACGTATTGTCAGCGGTACATTTAGAGGAGCTTTTTCGTATGTTATAATACAATGTAAGTCTGTCGGCGACTTTTTCGCCAAACGACATGGATTGCGCAACACGCATACGCCGCTTTTGCCCCGTCGTATATGTACACCCTGTATATATATATTCACACACAAACACATACACACACACACACACACATAATAATGATATCGCGTGTCCCCCTCGGCACCGTCGTCGCCGTACCCCGACGACGAAAACGACTCGTCCAAACCACTGTGATACTATGACCGCGTCTGTGCGCATCACGGTCACTACCGTCGATCGGCTCTCGTCTGTCGATAATAATCATAATCATCGCGATAGTAATATTATGGCCCGGATATCAATGCGAAGCGCGTTTTTATTTCTCGCTTAACAATGCGTATTCCAAACACACACAACATAATAATATACGTACAAGTAATTCGATTCACGTGTGATGTGTCGATGTTTTTTTTAAAATTTGTTTTGTTTTTAAGTTATTTTATTAGTATTTTTAATTATTTCGCTGTTTTTCCCCATATTTTCTGGTTATATTCGAAATATCATTTTTTCGGCATTATAATTTGCCGCGATCGCCGGAGAATTAACATGATCATAATATCATATAATATATTTTAAACGTTTATCCGATAGGTAAACGATAACGTAACTTCAAAATTCAATACGGATTAATATGCGAGTGAGTATATTATCGTGAATTTGTTAATTTGAGGGTGTCTGTCTGTTATTTCACTCTTCAGCGATTTACGAAAACTACAGTTATCCGTACAATTATTTCGGTATGTATTATACGTGCGTAGGTCGTATTTATTAAACGTTATTTTTCCGGTCACCCTCCATAATAATATTATAACTGTCCGGCACACGAACATTTTCAAAAAAAAAAAAAAGAACGAAATATTGTTTATCGAAAAAAAAGAACTGCGGTCCTCCGCCCTCGCACTGCTCGCGCGGTCTACTGCTCCACGTGCAATAATCGTATAAAATATACAAAGTCGTGGTAAACGTGTGCGCGCGCACAGACGGCGTGTATACTTATCGACCTTGCCAATATCATACGTTATATACAGTTACACACTCGTAAAGTATTAAATTATTGTTGTTGTTATTATTATTATTATTATATAAATTCACGAATCCGGGTGACGGCGTGTGTTTAGACTGACTAGAAGTTTCTGCATACATCACACCGTATATTATTATCCAATATTACACATAATACTACAATAATAATATTATACCCGACAACGACGCGTCATTGTTTTATTCGATTTTTCTCCGTCTCTCTCTAGCTTTTCGTCTGTAATACAACAATAATAATAAAGGTCGTCTCACTCGTGTCTACTCACACACGTTGTACACACTACTGTAATATTATAACTAATAAGTACTGCTACTACTATTAATACTACTACCATTACTTACTACCACTACTACTACTACTACTACTACTACTACTACTACTACTACTACACTACTACTACTACTACTACACTATTACTACACTTCTATTACAGTACTACTACCAGTCATGTGGTATTGTTTCGACTAGTGCGACAGACGCCCGGCGCGTGCGCGCTACCACGAATAATTGATTTTTACCACCTGTGGAACACGCGCACGCACGCACATATATGTAGTTTGCTGCTGCTGGTGAATCAGACGGCTCTATATATTATTATAACACCACTGTTGTTATCGATATTTTATATTTTATTATTATTATGACGTTCTATACGACGTCGGTATATAATATATACGTATTTGTAGGTGTAGTACAAACGTTGTTTTCGGCTGGGATATATAATAATATAGGGGACAATGGAAGACGGTTTTTTTTTTTTGTTGACTGCTCATCAGTATACCTAGGTACTAAATATTAATGTACTGTATAATGCCGGTGTCGGTCAAAAAAATGTTTTCCCATATTATAACGTTTACCTATATATTGTATAAATTAGAAAAATATCGTACGATTTCTTTTGGGTTTTCAGATATTTTGTTTGTTCTTATTAATAATTATTTTCATGTACCTATAATAGTGCATTCACTTGCACCGCGTAGCAAAAATATTATTATCGTCACCAAAATTTTGTCGTTTATTGTTTTAGATGTCGTATTGAAATTAAACGGCATGTGTACTTGGCGTCTTTATCCTTATACTGTACGTTTATACATAGGTATGTTTACTAATACGTCATATTTCTGCTTGACAAACACTGGAAACTACAATATTATAAACGTTTTATAAAATTATAGTTGTTTTCAAAAACAAAATAAAAAGGACTACCTGATCTGCCTTAAATATTTCATTGTTGGAGAAACGGCTGTTTGTTTGACGGGACGATAGATAATCCAAAAAGATTCTAGAATTGAGTCAGAATAAGCGTATTCAGATCAATTTCATAGGGGCCGATATTAAAATATCTGATAAGCCATTTTTTTTTTTTTCGAAATTCGGACTTAAAAATTAAAGATTCTGTATTTATATATCAGTTGTGACTTATCACCTATACAAGCGTATCTCGTCGTAAATTATTTTAGAATTTTTTAAATATGAGAAGTTTTCATGTAATAATGATACTATGTGACATTTTTAGGGAGGTTTTTGATTTTCGAATAGTATAGATAGATATCCTATTAGTATAATATACCAAAAGATGCTCAACACGTGAGTAAATAAACTTGTAATATAAAATTTAAAAGATATAAAGCCGTTCATAGAATGGCTGTAGAAAGTATAAATGATATCCAACCCTATAAAATTATAATTATAAACGTGCAATTTTAAATTCTTAGCGTGGTGAGGGAGCTATTGGTTTTACAATGGTGTTTATTTTTTTTTCTATCTTTGTTCTAGACTGTGGACACATTTTTGCCTAGTAAACTTGCTTCAATTTTTACGTGTAGCAACTTTACTGAAAGCTCAAGTTGTCTAGATTGTACTTTAAGACGTCATTTTTTAAATAAAAGCACTTCGGTGGGAAAAAAAACTTAGGAAAATGTACAATTTCACGATTTCATTATTTTATAAAAACACTGACAACGTTTTCTACCAGAAAAAATGATTAAATCGAAAATTCACAAGATGTCTTTTTTGTTGCATTTTTGGTTTATTTTCTTACGGTATCGTCGCCAAAAATTTTGAGCCATTTTGTGAGCTTTTAAGGAATTTTAACTTTTTGGAATTTTTTGCTGTGATTTGGTTATAAATACACGTAGAGACTTGAAACTTGGTAATAATACTTATGTTGGATTTACCTAGACGTAGTAACATTTTTAAAATCATCGGATAATTTTTTTTTTCCTTTTTTTTTTATACTGTAGACCACTTTTATCCTAGAAAACTTGCTTTGATGTATAGGTGTAGCACCTTTTCTGAAATTCCATTTTATCTACTTAGTAAATACATAGATCATTTTTTGATTTTCGAAACAGTGTTTAAAATAAAAACGATGAAACGGAAAAAAAAAACAAGATTTTTTTACGTTTTCTAGCACAAATATGGCTCAAATTGAAAAACGACGAGACCTTTTTTGTTGAATAATTAATCTTTTTTTAATGATACAGTTCGTTTTTTTTTATTTTTGACTTAGTTTTCATAAAAATCGGAAAAATCAGAAGAAGACGAAGTTGTTGTAATTCAATTTAAAATATTTGTAGCGACTTTAAAAATGAACAGAATGCTCACATTTGGTAATCAAATTTAAACGAAAATCGCAAAATAAAAATTATGTATTACTGAACCGCGCTCAGAATCGTCTGTCGTCAGAAATGGTTTATCGTTGCTTACAGATATAAATGAAACAACCTTATGTGTCCTACCTTCCCAACGTATCAGCTTTTTTTTTTTTTTTTCAAAGATATTAACTGCTTCTTTTCGTCTTTCTTCAAACATTAAAACACGTATATACTTTTTTCTTGCATTTCAGTAACATTTTTTAGTGCAGCATAATTTTTACCATTGAGTAATAATTATAATTCATAAATCAATATTTAAGTTTGTCTATATTACATGAGTACCTACTACTGTATACATTTACTTGTCGTACGTGTAAGTTCATGTAGCGGTTAATGACTCGTATTTCTGTATTCGTAATTTTCGGTCGATACCCGAAAAATATTATTAATTATTTTATAATTTAAGCACTGTGATTTGTATCGGCAATAATTGACCATTTTCGCGCTAAACTAATTACTATAATTTAAATTTTATTTGTTTTTTTTTTTTATTTCATTTCAAATCGTCTTCAGAGCGTTATAATAATATATTATTATTATTATTGGGTAAAAAAAAAATAGATTATTATTGAAACATATTATTATACCAAAAAATATAAGATAATTATATAATAATAATTATAATCGCATCAGTAATAATAATAATAAAAAAAATTATAATTTTATCGACACCGAATCGTATTATTATAAAATATGAATAGGTCACCTTAACAATAATGTATTGTATGCAACGCAAATAGTAATGTGCGTTAATCGAAATATATAAAATTCAAAAAGTAATTATTTTTAATTCTTTTAATATATAATCATATATATATATTACATAAATTGCTGTGTTTACTTAATAATAATATAATTATATAAGAATACAAACAAATTTGACAAGGTATAGGGTACATAAAGTTGTTTAATTTATATCTGTACGCACCAATAAACTGCTAACGTATTACGATTCCGAGCGAAGTCCATGTTTTGAAATACCGTAGTTTTTAAAATTTTCGTTAAAATTTGATCCTAAAACCTTTTTTTTTTTAAATAAAACTACATTATACTACATTACGTTCCAATATTTTTTTTATTGTAAAGTAAAACTAACAAAGAATCTCGTATTAAATCTTTTCTGTTGGAATAGTTGAAACTGAAAATGTTGGGTACGAATATTTTTAACCAAATTATAACAAAACAAAATTTAAAGTATTGTAACCGTATTATTAACGTAAACTTTCCCATTTTTCCTATGATTTTCTCTGTTTTGTCCAATTATTAAGAAAACTAGAAAAAAAAAAATCAAATAACGACTTTCTTTCGCATTAATTAAACATAATTCTCTTTGAAAAGAAAAGTCACATTTGAATTTCGAGATAAATTGCAAGATAAAAAAAATTGAAAATGTTAAAAATAATGAAATTGTAAATGCCATAAATTAGTTTGTTTTTAATTTTTAATTTTTTTTTTTTTTTTTTTTTCTCAATTATTATAAAAAAAAAAAAAAAAAAAAACCCTTGTAAAAAATTACCTTTTCAGTGCACCAATTATAATAATAATAATAATATATTGTAACAATAACATATTAACAACTGACATCTTAATAACATATGAATAAATGTTGCAGCACCTCCTATAAGCAAAGCTTATGCTAGGGAAGCAGTTCTTAACCTGTTAATATACTAGTATTAATTTAAAAATAAACAATAAACAGTAATTATTTAAAAAAATAATAAATAAATTAAGATGCTCAATATGAATTTTAAAAGACTTAAGATTATTTACATTAGTATTTAACGATTAACATAATTTTAAGCTTTGATATAAAATACTTCTTTAACCAAAAACTTTATGGTAGTTGAGTAAACGCATGTTAATGTTGTGTTTGTATCTTGAACCATGATCGTGATCAAGGAGAGAAACTAAATGCTTATTTGTATAAAATTCTATCAAAATAACCCGGTTAGAAATAAACTTAAAAATCATTTACCTTAAATTCCTATTAGATTAATTTAGAGCTAGTATGCCTAGACAAATTCGGTAAATATTTAATGACACAATTTATAGTAGCTATTAATCCGGATATATGATTATTAGAGATTCTTTCCCATATCGCAACACCATACGAAAAAAACTGACTGTACCAAAGATAGATAAATAATTCTTTTATAAGAATTATAATATAAAATATATCTAATTTCTTTAAAAATGAACTAGAATTTTCATATAATGTTATTAATATAATTAATCCCATTTAAATTCTATAATCAAGAATTAGACTAAGATATATTTTAACTTCTTTCACATTTTGAAGTTTAACGCACATTGGCCCGCACATGTATTACTCGGAAAAGAGTTAAATTTTATAGAATGCACTTCTAAATTGTATTCATTTAAAATGTTTAGATTTTTTTAGAAAATTAGATCCAAAAAGCATCAAAACAGGTCTTTGTCATTTTCGATTGAAACAAGAATTTTGGTAGAAAAGTTGTTCACAGAAAAAATAATAATAAGCACATATCATAAAATCGAATACATTCCTCCCTCTACACAGAGTCGATGTAAGATTCTAATTTAAAAGACCCGTTTAAAACGAATCAAATTTTATTTTTCCATTGAGACGGCGCCGGCACAGATTATAATTTAAAGGAATGAATCTCTTACACATACCTATACAATAAAAAATATAAACACGGCCATGAATATTTATATACAATTTAAATGGTAAAAATGTTCAATTATTCCGGTCGTTACAATATTACTATGTATGCACAATAATAGTTATTAATGGCGATCGATTAGTTTTTTTTTTAAGCGCGATGATGATGACGACACCGAGTCATTGTAAATATGAATTCCGCCCACAAAATATCTCAATAACCATCGATTAAAAAACGCAACGTTGATGAGATAATCCACTTTTAGTGAAACACTGTTCCAACACTACGTGCCATGCTATAACACAAAATATACTCCACTATTCTCCCCCCTTAATCACTATTAAAGGTGGAATATCTCGTAAACGAGTTGACGGAATTTAAAATGTCAACACCATAATGTAATTTTTACATTTAATAACTTCACTTATTTATGTTGTAATAGATTGCTATTTGAAAATCAAAAGTAAGTGGTGGTTTTATCTTTTCCTCTTCCCCCCCCCCAAAAAAAAATACATATATTAGTAACATAAACGGAGAAATGAAGAATATTTTATTCTTAAAAGTTTTTTCATAAGTAATATTTTTGAAAAAAAAAGTATTTCATTGATGATTTGACAACAACATGGAAGTCTGAAAGTATAAGAGTAGTTACCACGCGGTTTTCATTAGTTATAAATTATGAATGATCTTTGTCGTCTCAGTCAGCAGTGTCATATTGCTTTTTTTAGCTAAAAGTACATCAGTTTAAAGACATCATCATTTGGTTCCCTTAAAAGATCGATTCCCTTGCATTTTGCCTTTTTTTCATTCTGCACTGTATTAGATGTGGTCATCGTGCACCTCTCCGTATTCGCATTCTACAATATCTCCTATTTCCACCGTACAAGATTCTTGTTTGCTTTTGCGACTTTGACCCAGAAACGATTTAAAGTCTTCCAAAGTCCATATTTCAGGTTTCTTCCCGGAGCAGATCCTTAATTGTTCTTGTCCATGTTGGTTATTCGGTTTTATATTTATCGTTACATTTTTAAAGGCGTTCGGATGATTTTGATTGTAAAGTGTCTATAGTGCTATTCAGAAAACTATGCTTCGACTTTAATCCGCTGTTAATTGGTTTGTATCCGTGCAAGGGGTGTTTTCGTCAAAGTTGCATTTCTTTTTTTCTCCTGTCACCTGTCGTCTAACGTCTGGTGGAGCTATGCCACCGAGTATGTATAGTTTGCTAGTAATTGTTGGTTTTAAGCACCTTGTGATTATTCTGCAGGTTTCATTAACTGCTACCTCATAAATTATGATAATAAATATTACTAAATACGTATAATATTTTATAAATTAATATATTACAAAATTAAATAATAAATCATTATAATTATAATACCTATTTACATATTATTACATTATGCATTGTGTATAAATATTGTACACGTTTAATAGGTAATAGTATTAAATATTTTCCCTTGTGTGTACTTAAAATAGTTCCGTCTTATGAAAGAAAGTGTTTAGTTTAAAAAAATGCACAGATCGGGTAAATTTGTTTGTTTATATTACAAAAATGGTCTAGTACGCTCAATTATATAACTTTAGTTCCACCTATGAAATAATATATTCGTGATAAGTCAAAAGTATCAATTGTGTTTTGTCGTTCGATACTATTTATTTATAAATTCGTCTGTGGTCATGCGCAAAGTTCAAATTTAAATTTAAGACATTTACTGTCTTCAGGAACAGAAGAAATGGAGTTTAAAATGTTGGCGACACCTGGAAGATATTCATCTCGCATATACCTACAAAGGATATTTTATCGATATATATTTACATTATAATATTTTATTCTTAGCGGTTCTTTTTTTCGCGGTATTTTAACGGTACCTATATAAAACACTAAAAGCTCTGTATATTGCATAGTCAGTGTGAATCCCTCTCTTTTAGCTCTCGAGCCGTACCGTTGTCGACTTGTGTGGGTGTGTGTGTGTGTGTGTGTGTGTATGAGCAATATTATATATATTTTAAATATATTTATATATATATATATATATATATATATATATAGAACGTCCGTGAGGTACGGCAGCTTGGAAATTGAATTTGGCGACGAACCGCCACGATTTTTCGATTACGCGACGCGTCTGCCGGTCGCCGCCAAGCGTTCCGCGCGCGTGACCGTCTATCGATTCGCGGTGGTGGCGGCGGCGGCGTAGGCGTTTCTGCCGAGCGAATTATAGGGTTAAGAACTTCTCGCGCGCGTCTGGTTCGTTAGTCGGCACCGCCGCCGGTTCGTTTACCGCCAGTGCACTGCTGGTGAAGTCGTCGTCGGCTACGTAGTTCTCGTAGCACCGTACACGTGGTTATTATAATACAGGCAGTAAGATATTCCTTATACGCGACGTAATTCGATAACCGTATATATCATATAAATATACCGATCATCTAAACGAATTTTTTTTTCGTATATACGGTTAAATACCGTTGATATCTATTTAATAATTTTATTATAACGGTATTGATCCGATATGAAATTTTTCCGATGTTTGATAATTACCTAACTTATGGATAGATCAGTTAAAAATCCAATTTTTTAAACATTTTTCACATTTTCAGACATTTTTTTTTAACGAAATAGTATCTAGTCAAATATAGGTTTTGAAAAAAAACTTGATATACTCACCACTTAAAATATTGTCACCCGCCGCGGATTGCGAGACTATGGTAACCACTGACGTATAATACGTATGTTAATACTATCACGTCGCCCAACTATTCTAGACGTACAGTGGCGTATTTATGATTTGATTTTTTTTTTTATGGGGGGCTTCATTTACTTAGTTTAGACGAATAAATCATACCAAGCTCACTAATATTTTAGAATTTGTGTGCCTCTGATGAATGTAAACCTCTAAAACTACCCCGTAAATACGAAACTGCAGCTGTTTATATTTAAAATAAATTATAGAAATCTGATAACAGACGATTTTTAATAATAACCGATTGTATCCTAGCAACTGTTAATCGTAGTAATGGGTTTCTCAACTTGTCGAGCCTTTGGAATGATATTTTCTAATTGGCTTGAATTCGATTAAATTTTATTTTTACTTGATTTTATTAAACAACTTTTATTCTATATCACACTATATTATTATTATATTTATTTATTATGTTTATATTATTATAAATATAATATTATCTACTTTACTAAATAATGTAACGTAAATGTAACCTACCGTTTTGAAAATCAAAAAAACGACTTCATTTATGCACTAACATTGTCATATTTTGACTGGAGTAAGATTTCTGGTAGAAAAACTTCCAGGCACAAATAAAAAGTATTCTTCATCATAGTAAAACCAAAATAATATAAAATATTTAATCAGTTAACATATTTATATCTGCCGCTGTTTTTTTAAAAAATATAATTTCATTAAATTCTTATTAGTTAAATTTTGGTGTGTATTGTTTTTCGTACACAAAAATTACCTTATTTTTTTTCTTTTTAAGATAGTGACACTTAGACAGGGAAGGAAGGGAAGAACAGGTCATTACATATATTTTTTTTTTCGCTTATCGCTCTTAATATTATTTTTGTGAGCCAATAAGCCTCCCCTGAAAATAAGGGCCTCATAATTAACCCTGCATATTGGCCTCCAAATCCCTAGTTTTGACATTGCTCATATATTACTTCGGTTGAAATATTTTGGTCATGTCTACTAAGACGTCTACGGGAGTAAAATTCAACTCATGGCTATGCTAATTTTAGTGTTGACCGTATAATAAGTATGTTGGATATATATTATGGTGTCAAGCATTTCATATTACAATCACAATAAGCTGTAATCATATTAGTCGCATCACAAAAAAAACTACCTAATAAAACAAATTCAATTTCACGCGACACGAGTTGTGAACTCTGCTTAACGTACACATTTCTGAAACCATATCGCTGGCCCTGTATTAGGTTAAGAGACTATAACTTACAGTGGCTCCTGTCCGCTGGTTGGTGACAGTCACTGTTGACGAAACGTTTACACGATTAATTTAAAATAACCGTGCCTGATGGTGTTAGAAATAATACGTTTCTAGGACGAATTTTCAGAACTGTTTCTGCGCAGTCTATTATAATGTGAAAAACACTCGTCGGAGTGCTGAAGTGGCTGGCTTCAAGGGTGGGAAGGGAGTGGTATCCCGTGGATAAAAATTGATGTTTTTAGAGAGGTTCGTGTGTGCGTGATGATGGTGGTGGTGGTGGTGTCGGTGTCGGTGTCGGCAGTGGTGGCTTACTCGTGGAAACGGTTGAGGTGGCGGCGGTGGCGGTGGTCGTCGTCCGATGTGGAAAATCCATAAAAACCGAGAAAAAAAAGAAAACGGGCAACTCCCTCGGGCGAAACGCGCGGGAATACACCCAGTACACAGCGGTGGGGCGCGGGTCACGTTATAATAAGCGCGGGAAACGCTCTCGAGTATATAGGCGAATGCGCGGGGGCGGCGTTACAGATATTACGATTATTATCATTATTATTACTATATAGTGCGTGCACGAACAGGAGCGCCATCTGAACAATCCAATACGCACCGAGAGCCACGTGTTGAGTCACGTGTAGCGGGGGCGATGCATCACACCGCCGTCGTTTCACGCCGCGACCACCGCCGCGCGAGAAGAATTTATTCGTGCGCGCCGCAAGGGAAACATATTATTATGCGACAGACGGTTCTTTCCGCGTAAAACGGAAACCAAAGGATAATATATCGCCAACAATCGGATAGTAATACGAAAGACGTCATCCTTTCGTGAAATTAACAGACAACAATAATAGTTTTTTTTATGAAACCATTTTATTGGTGTTTTAAATTCTGAGCGCACTGATGTATTGGTTTTACTATGGTCTGTGTTTTTTTTTTCTAAGCATTGATGCATCGAGAAGGTCATTTTTTAATTTTCCAAATAGTTTTTGCCCCAAAAAAGATAACTTGGAAAATATCGAGGCTTGTGCGGTAAATTATGTGGGGCCTTGATAATTTTTTTTCCCTTTTCACTTTTTAATACCAAATGTAGATAGATCTTTATAATATATATCTTCTTCGTTCTTTACTTTTAATTTATGTTTCTCCAAACAATTAAATTAAATTATTTGCTATAATTGTAAATTGAAACAGGACTCTATATAAAGCTTGCCATCAAGGCAGCCTTGCCACTGCAACAGTATTTTAAGTACAGGTTGTACGAATATTATCATAATAGTAACACACTTTATACAGGCTGTCTTACGAAAATATACTCCTTGAATATCTCCGGAGATAATAATGATAACCAAATTCAAATTTTTTTTTTTTTTTTTTTTTATATATATATATATATATATATATATATATACTACTCACAGAGAAGAGGACCACAAATATGTATACTTGAATTTTTTTTTTTTTCAACTAAAATGAAAAAATAACTTTATTTTATTATTTTCGGAAAATTTTAAGACAGCCATTCTGTAATGATTATTTTGACGTATGTGTTAATGTACATTAAAATGTTCAGAAAAATTATCTTTATAGAATAGCTAGCTGTCTTAGAAATTCCGAAAATAATAAAATAAAGTTTTTTTTTAAAATTTGTTTAATAAAACAAAAAATTCAATTATAAATATTTGTAGTTATGAGAAATATATATATATATATAAAACAGAATTTGATTATCTTTATTTCTCCGGAGATATTCAAGAGTTATCACATCTTCGTGTGACAGCCTGTATTATGTCTGATCGATAAACGCGCATTTTAATGTTTATGCATTTTTTTTTTTACAATTGCGTAGGCATTATAGTATTATACTGTGCTATGTACCTATACAGTTCACGTGTCGTTGTCGTCGGACGTGACGGGTAGGAGGTTTGCGAGCGCGGTTTGTCGAATATCGGTAGGCTAGCCGAAAAATGGGGGAAGGGGGTCGAGTGAGAATAAAGGGGGTTTTGCAACGCAATTGAGGACGAACGCGTCTCGACAAGAATATTAAAAACGACGACACGCGGACGGATATTATTCCGCTTTGTGGCGTATCCGCGGCTTTACGGTGCGTGTCTCGGTTCCGAGCCGTTTCGCAATCAAAGACCTCGGTTATCACGCTGTACACGATTACGCATCACAACGCACGTACGCGTATAATATAAAGGGAGATTCACACTAGAGTTTTTAAGCGTTTACCTATTTTCGATAAAACGCTATTTTTTTCGATTTTTGTCCGCTGCAGTTCGTTATTATTGACTAAGTTATCGTAAATAAATATTAGGCTTTTAGAGATAAGTACACTGGATACGAGAATCGTTGTACTCTCGGCATTTTTGGAGAGTCAAACGCAGTTGTAGTATTTATTTTACCCGCGCTATTTAAAAGTGCTACGAAACTCGCCATACCTTTGTGCATTTCGGGTTAAGGTTAAAAAATCATAGTTATATTTAATTATTTCAAATAAATAATAATAATTATGTTGTTATTTATTTACGAAAACAAAATGTAAAAGATAATTTGTATAAATTTCGAAAAAATTCGGTTTTATATGCTCTTTGGAGCGATAAAAAGTGAATTAATAAAATTGCCTTTCTAAGCAATCGTAAAATTAACATAGAGAAGATATAGCCTGTGTCCCGAATTTGTCTTTTCTAAGACCGTGATAGTGATAAAAACGATAAGGGACCACTGGTACATTACATATTTCATTGATACCAACCGTTTTCTCTTAAAATATTATGTCGGGTTATGTGAGGTTTTTATGCTTTTTTACTCCAAAATATGCTGGCCTACCCAATGTGTCATTTTCCTTTTCCTCCCCGTTTCCTCGATTACATATACGCGTTTTGAACGAATAAAGGTTTTCACTTCAAAACAGTACCTATTTGGTTAAGATGTTGCATGCAAAATAAATTCAATTTTTTTTTCGATGGTCAGTATTGCATTGGTCCGTATAGCGGCTACAATGATTCCCTTATTATTAATGTGATAACTACAGGGTACTACCCTAGTATTCTGAGATCAGACAGATGTTATTGTTTTTTATCTGCATAATCAAATGCGATTATTGGAAACAGACCTGGAACTATCTAATAATCTATCTATAATAATATGTATAGTGTGTAAATCGCCCTTCAAACATTTTTTTATTCCGTCATCAATTATATTATAATAATATATAATTGTTATTAGTATTTTTTTTTAATTTTACGATACCGATAACGACGTTATATTATAATAATTATTATCGGCCTAGTCTAAATAATATAATTACACTTGTATTAGGTTGTATTATGATAATGTATTAATGTATAATATTGCGTATTGAAGATAACGCCAACTATAATATTACTCTCTGTCGGCGGTTCCTCTTCCGTCCGTTTTATTTGTCAATCGAGTATCGTATGTTTTTATTTTTTTTTTTTCTATTTAATATTCGATCACTAGACGGTTTTTTGTGTTTGTGTTTGTTCGTGGTATTATTGAAATGACGTTTGTAGCGTTGGTTAACGCTCTTCGTTCTGATCGTCTACAAGTATTATATCATATAATATTATAATATTGTAATATGTACAAGTGGATACTTGAGGAAAATAACTGTTTTGAAAATTACCGACTACTGGTAATTTTTATATCTAATAATGTAATTTTGTTATTTTTTTTAAAAAAACTAACAAATTATTATTGCACGCATCTTACTCAATTCCTTATAAATATTTTTTAAACAATAAACTATAATTCCTTGTATCAGGTTAAATAAATTAAATGTCTAGTAAATTTGTAAATGATTTCCAGGAAATTTTTTGTGTGCATACGCCCTTCTTACAATGTCCGGTTAGCGCTAATAGGCGTTTAAATTAGCCGAAAACCCGAAAAATGCTATCAATTAACTCACGGTTAGCACCTAACCAATACATTAAGAAACATTGTAAAACCAGACTTACAGTACCTATATTTTGGTACTTATTGTGTAATACCTATCTTCTTCCTTTATATGAATTTCGGCCTGGTTTGCTTTAAGTTGTAATTTACTTGTTTATTTTTTATAGCATTTTTAAGTGAACTGATGTATATATTTAATTGGTGAAGTTTGTTTTTATGTAATAATTAAATCGTTTACTATATTTCATTATACTGTTCAGTACTTTTTGTGTATTATTTTACATAATGGCCTGATTACCTAAGAAATCTTCTTTTGAAAATAAATTATAATGCCATAATCATAGGTGTGCGCAGATCTGAATTTCGGGAGGTGCTTACAATATTTTTGGTCGCTTTTATTAATTTGGGCCCAATATTGCCAAGACATGTACATATTTTAATCAATTTTAATGTACGAATAAACATTACTTAATTTTTTATTTAATATTCTAATACAACAATTATAAATATTTAATAACATTGCTGAAAATTATTAAACTCATTAATAACGTTATCTACTTCAACATTAGAGGCCATTTCTTGTTCTGTCAAAAGTAAAGTTAATGATTCTAAACGGTTTTGAACCGTGCTACTTCTTAATTTATTTTTCACAATGTTTAATTTTGAAACTACCCATTCACAAAAACAACTAGTAACGGGACAGTGCTAAAAATGTATAGTATTTTTAAAAAAAACAACTAAAAATATTATATCTACTGGAGTCTTTTTACCAATAATCCAGCCGCAAAAACACAGAATCATTAGTTGTACCTTTAGGAATATTGTTGTCTGTGGAGTTCTTGACAAGTTTGATTTCAACAATCAAAGTGTTTGATGAAATATTCGCAAACTTTTCCAAAATGGCAGCTACAACATTAAAGTCACATTTTAAATTCTGAGTGGAGCAAAGAAGCTTATGGTTTTGCATTGATGTTAATTTTTTTATTTCTGTGGAAAACTTTTTTATTAGAGATCTTGCTCATTTTACGTGATTTTTTCTTTTCTGGGAGGAAATTAAGTATGGGGAGGTACTTTAGAGTGGTCACTTTTCGATTTTCTCGTGGGTTTTCCCAGAAAATGTGAAAACCAAGAAAAAACCTAAGAAAAATGGGGAAATCACTACATTAAACAAATATTATTAAAGATAATGTATAATGCCTATTTAATTAACTTACCATAATATGACATATATATTGTTGACAAAGCAACACTATTAACCAAATTTCGTTTTACCTTTCCAACCTTTCACCTACAACAGCGGCCCACCCACTTGCGAAATGTATCCCTTTTTTTTAGATTCTGAGTGGAACGAAGAAGTTTTTAGTTTTACAAAGATGTTTATTTTTTTTTTTATCAGAAGACTGACTTGCTCGGATTTCTACGTGTAGCACCTTTTCTGAATGGAAATCGGCGTAGGGAAGTACTATAAGGGGGTAATTTTTCGGTTTTTTCAAGAGTTTTCTCATCCAATGTGAAAAACCGAATAAAACTTAAAATTTACGAAATATAATCTTACGATTTCTTTTTTCTGTGGACATTTTTTCTACCAGTAATTTTACTCCAATTTTTAATGATAGCAAAGTTTCTAAAAGGAAATTTCACTAGAGAGATGCTTAAGAAGTACAACATTCATCAAATTTTATTAAAGAAAGTATATAAAGCCTATATACTACAAAATTACATATATATTGTTGATGAAGCATTACTATCAACTAAACTCTGCTCAGAATCGTTCTTTGTAAGCAATGGTTTATCGTTGCTTACAGATGCACTTCAAATTTCTGTCTATATCCTACCTTCCCAACTTTTTACCTACGCCAGTGGCCGCACCCGTCCCCTTTATTTTACCTCTTTTTTTCATTCGTAACCCTTAAGTAGGTTCTTATATACAGGGTGTATCTACAGGGTTTGACTATTGCAAATGCAATTGCATATACTACGTAATTAGATAATTGACAATTCTTCCACATACTCTATTCTGCATCTTTGTTGTAAATACTAATGAAACGTCAAACGAATTCGTGACGAATGACAACTAAATAATTTTAACGATTAAATGTTATCGCTGTCGTGCTAAAAGATCTTAGTGAAATTTTGTGATGTGTTATCTTATTGATAAACTTACATTTGATATTTCCAATGGTCTGATAAATCACAAACTTATTTGATTTTCAAAATTGTCGTCTTAAAATATCTATAAAAAAAAAGTTAATAATTTTAACCTTTTAGATCGTTCGGTTTTATTTTCATCCATAACTTGGAAATATGTTAAAAACTTATTATAATTTTACAATAACAGCTAAAAACTAACAAAACTTTAACTAAAATTAAAAATATAAGCTTTAACACTCAGTCAGAATTATAATAACTACTAATAACAGACGTAACTCGGTTGGTTGGTTTTTCTACACCCCAAAGAAGTTTCAATACTTCTTGAAGACATGAAGTTTATTTGATGCTTGGTCACTTTTTGCAAGTTAATTTAATATAATTATAATAATAATACACATTAGGTAATGGAGAAATATCACAGTTGTTTTTTTGAGTGTTGTTTAGTGGCTATAGCCGGCCGCGTGCGGTCAATTTATAATAGGTATATAATTATATTACTGTGGTTATGTTAGGTTAGGCTATGTTAGGCGATATAGAGGACGATCGTGGTCGGAATCATATAATATTATAACGATCGGCGGTGGACGCCCTCTTTGTACACGCCCCGCACGGTATAAACCACCTCTACCGTTGCTGTGTTTATAACACAATCGTTAAGTAGGTACACGTGAAAGTTTAAAACGTTTTTAAAAGGATAATTTCAGATAGCTCTATACTCGTACACGCCTACCGAAACCCTAAAATCAGAACCCAACTCTGACTGTGTTATTATATATTTGATACCAGGGAGAATAAGTGCTTGAGTCAATTATGTTACATTTTCAATACAAACAAATTAAATTTTGAGAATTGTTAAATGACAAAATGTCATACTATATATGTCTAAATATCAATAAATGGCCTAATCTAAATATAGGCGTTCTAAATGGCTTAATTCATATAATAATTATAATGGCTAATGTTTGTCTTGCCAAACAAATGTGATTTAAGGTATTTTAATTTTCCGTTTAATATATGTTGAAACATGCACAGGCTTATTCGATTAAGGCCAAAAGATAAATGCTGAATAGCACACGTTAAATTGTTCAAGACAAAAATACTTAATATTTCTGAAAAGAACTTACTAATACATTTCATGTAATAAGTATAATTAATACTGTTATAGTGTGAAGCATAATCAATAAATAAATAAAAGTTTCTACAGTAACTTTATGACATATAAGACTTTAGGTGCTTAAAGTATTTTTTGTAATTTTTTTTAACAAATTTTAAAATTTTATTTCTGCATTTAACAATTCATATATAATCGTATAGTATATAATTATATGAACGCGGCGGGTTATCCTTTTATAATATTTTCGTTTTCACTCGACGTTCCTTGACAGTGTACTTTTTAAAATTATTTCAAATTGACAAGGACCACATATCGTTTTTTTTTGTTTTCTCGTTTACCACCGAGCGCTAAACCTGGAATTCACCTGTGTAATCTGTCGCATTCTCTTCGCGTCGTCTTCACAATATCGTTTTTTGTAAAAAAAAAAAAAAAAAAATTAAAAAAAAATTAATAAATAAATATAATAACAATAAGAATAAACGTTATAATATACGACAAAATTTGTGGTGGTTTTCGAACAGTAGGTAATATATTGATATGGGTATAGAATTTTTTTTCCACCGTCCATGCGCCATCGCGGTGTTAAAATCGGCGGATGAGGTGACGGAGAAGGAAAAAATAACAATAAAAAAAAAAAAAATGTGCGGTGTGGCGTGTGTATATAGTCTTCGCTTGCCATCGTCTTTAATAATTCTCGGCCTGTTGACGCGCGCGTTTTTTACTATACATACGATTATTAATATTTTTATATATACAGGGTGTAACAGGACTATTTACCATTTGAAATAATTTTTGTTCTAGACAACATTTAAATTTATTTTTTTTTTTTTATAATGATTAGTACTTATAACTACGCTACATTTAAAATATTACGTTTATTTTTTTTGTTTAGGTGGGTGGAGGTACTTAAAATAAAAAATTTTAAATTGTACTATAACTATACTAATATAAAATTCAAGATGGTAATTTTGTTAAAATAGATTTTTAGAAAAATGTTGTGGATAAAACTTTCATTTAGGTTCATTATGGTCATTTATTTTCTACGATTTTTTGAAGTTTTGAAAAATTTGATTATCGTAGTTTATAATCTATTATTTAATCAATAATCAGAGCCCACCAAATGATAAAGATTTTCTTTTCCATGAGTTAATATCATACAATAATACTCGTGACTACTGATTAAATATTTTAGTAAATTATAAACCACAATAATATTCAAATTTTCCAAAACTTTAAAACTTGTAGGAAATACTATACCTAAAAAAAAAGTCTCAACTATTAAACATTTTCTAAAAATCTATTTACAAAATGGCTATCTTGAATTTAAAAAAAAAATATATTAAAAATATTGAATAGAACAAAAGTTATTTCCAGTGGTAAATAGTCCTGTTACACTCTGTATATATAATATGTGTAATACGTTGGTGTATACTACATACAGGGTGATATGGCACGTCACAGGGAGGGACCTACCTACCATATTATAATGACATCAATATACCGTTTGTAAACATCAACGTTATCCTGTATTTATTGGTTTTATTTTACAATTATAATGTCCTATATTGGTAATAATATTGATAATATCGCGGTTTTACGGTGAATCGCTTTAAAAATGCAATTGAAATTTTGGCAAAAAGTCGATCAAAATAATTACTGCGATTTTCTACAAAATTGATTGGCCTTTTCTCGCAAAAACTTTTTTCGTGCCGTCCTTGATAGTAGTGAAAATTGGTGGTGGGCATGTGGAACCAGTAGCGTACTGGTTAAGCCCGGATCTATCCACTTTTCTCAGAAGATAAATGTTCGACAAATTTGCTTTATGTTATAAACATAATGTACCAACGAGAAGATGGTTTGCAACCTATAATATGATTGAATGCATCCACTGCAGATTATTGAAAAAACTTTATAATTTGCAGTATATTTTGTTTATTTTTAGTTTGATAATATTATTACTTTATGATAGAAAAATTTTAAGTTCAAAAAAGTTAGTAATAATAATAGTAGTATTAATAGTTGAGCTAGTTTTGTGCACCAAGGAAGAGGAGGAACGGCAAAGGCATCTACAGGGGTGACCGTAAAAAGCGACATCGATGACAACTGGGCTGAAGGCAGGACAAATATCGTTTTTGTATATTGTTTTACTAAATCAATAAATGATAGCGGCCAGGTGGGAAAGCAAAGCATAGGAAACCTACCCCCTGTTCGACGATTCAAGATTCAAGTAGTAATAGTAGTAGCAATAGTAATAGGAATAATATTATTATTATTAGTAGACAGTAGTGGTGGTGGTAGTTGTTAAGTAGTAATATTTCCCGTCATCCAAACACGTCTGACCTATCCAGAAAACGATTTATACCAAAGCCACTGTTCGGAACCCGTCTTTTGAGTCATCCTGTATCTATGTGCGCTCGCGCGCCTATACACACGAGCCGCGCACGTACACTTATACCGCTGCTGTGTATGTGTAGTAGCCGTGTATATGAAAAGTATACGTGACGTTTTTTTTTTTTTTTTTAGATTTTAAATTGGAAGACTCCTATAACCTTATAGCAAACGACTACTACAATATACTGTATAATATAACATAACAATGATGTAACCGAGGCGGCGGCGGAAACGTTAGTTTGTTCTCGACGGGCGGTCGACTACGATTCGCGTTTACACCTTCGTCGTCACTCGTCATCACTGCACTGCCGTCACACTAAACACAATAATATAATATTATGTTATTATATTATACTATATAGTAGTGTTTGGCGAACGTCAACGAAATTAATAATAATAACGAAAAACAAAATAAATATTGGCCGGTTAGAAGGAAAAAAAACACCTATGATCAGTAAAGCTCTATCACTATAGAATCGAATTCCCCCCACTAAGCTCAAAAAGAAAACAAAGTAATATACTTTCTAAAAAAAGGGGTCATCATGTTCATCATGAAATCGCTATAAAATTTGTAGAAACTGTTTTTGGAGATTTCATACTCTGTAATTTTTAAAATCATCTACCCTCCATTTATTTTATCATTGTTGGATTGAGATATTTAACTTATCGTGCAGGTAAGTAAAATGTTCAAAAACAACTACCAAGCTTTTAAAACTTATTAAACAGGCACAAATGGCAAACTGTGGCAAAACAGGTACAAAGGAGTAAAAGGAAGGAGAACAAATAGAAGTATAAAACTGAGAAAATTATAAGCTTGGTAAATCTTGATATTTATGCATTTTTGCATCGCTCTTTTTAAATGGTTTTTTTTTTACTTTTAATCAATTTTTAGTAGATTTTGTGTTATTTACTATAATAATAGAATATACTACTTCCAAGAAAAAAAAAATGGTAAAATTTGAGTATATTATTAATTTTAGGCGAGAGGTTGATAGTCGAAACTATAAAAAAACACATTCTTATTGATACTATTTCCATTCATGTATCAAATTTCAAACCCCCCACCCCACTAGCTTTATTTATGAAGCCTGTTGGAGTGTTGAAAAGCTAAAAGCAAAATACCACAACATCATGTAGGTGAAATTCATATTATGCCAATTTTTTAGCACTTCAAAACGATTTTAATTCCCGAGTTTTGAGCTCATTTGATCCAAAAGTGTAGCGAAAAAAAGACTCAATACATTGCATTAATCTTGGGAATAATTCGACAAAATTGAGTGTTTTATTTTCCGCGTGTAGTTAAGTTAAATCAGAAATCAACGAGAAGGGGATTACATTTTTAAAGAGTATATTTGAACATATAACCCTCCCTATAGGAACTTAGAACTCTTCGAAATTGATAGTTCGTCTGAAATACTTTTTGAAAACCGTTCTGACCGACAGACTGGTCTTTTATGTTAAAGCAAAACTTTTATATCACACTTTTCAGCCGTTTTTTCGTTTCGGGGCATATTTTTTTAAGGGCATTATAATGCGGTCAAAAAATGTTTAAGTCTCATTTTTTCAAAACGTGTTTTTTTCAATAACCACGTTTAAACTAAATTCCTTTTTGCGTCACCATCGTCGTGGGGTTGTTACGATCTTTCTCGATAACGAAAACTTTGCTGTCAGTCGTTGTCGTGTAATATTATATACTATATAATTTTTTTTTTTTTTTTTTATCGTGACGTTCTTTTTTGCCACAATATTGTTATACTCGTATATAATCGTTTTTAAGAAATTATACGACGACGATTTTACACGGTAGTTTGTGCGAATCGTTTGTAAATCTCATTTTAACGACCCCGCGTGTATAATGGTGACATTTTTCGAATATTTTCAAACAATCATTACCGGAAAAAAATGCGATCGCCGACGACCAGAAACTATATACTGTATATTATAAACTAAACATTACCGAAACTCGATACTGTATATTAATAATATTCGATTGATTTCGGTTAAATGAGAATTTAATTCCCATACTTTTTCAAACTTTCTCTCACAGAAATAGTCGGGAAAAACGCGTGGTGTGCATGTTTATTAGCAACGATAATAATTATTGTTGCCGACCGATTAAAATTTGACGTCACGAATAAGGAATTCGTTGGTCGAAATTATTTTTCACGGAGACTGAAGTTTTCAGTTGCTGTCGCACATTAAATCGAAATTATTAAACCAGGGGAAAGAGGGTTGAAAAAATTACTATATAAATCTATGGTTAAACGTCGTAGCAGGATAATGTTATGTTTTTTTGCGAATATTTGACTTGCGGGTGAAAATATTGGGCAAATATTTGTTCATAAAACAGTGTATATGTGTAGTGTGTGCGTATCAGTGTTAACAAATTTGCCACCATTGACTACTATCCCGCCTATTTTTAAACGATTTAGTATAACTTCTACTACCTAATTCATACTCCTTTCCAATTTAACTACCATATAAATAACTTGCCAATAATATCTGTCGGAATCTATGTTTGTGTTTTTGGTTTCACTTTAACACCTACTCTCTATTCTCTCAAGCATATTGAAATCACCTGCTGCAAAACCCTCCTAGGGAACCTCTCAACAGTTATATCTTCTCTCCTCACTCAAAATCCTTTTCTGCTCCCTTATTCACCCTATCCTTGAATACGGCTCCATCCTCTAAAACCCTTCCACGTCATGTGGTAAATCTGCTATCGAGCGTTTTATTTCAACGCGAATTCCTCCATTTAGTCGCCTTCCGTTTCAACATCCCCACCCACCTCATGATTACTCCTTCATTCTCCATGATTTACAGCTAACTAGCCTTGCTGATCGCAGATATTTACCTAATATTCTTTTTCTCTCTAATCTCATCTCCGGCAAAATAGATTTTCCTTCTCTCTTATCTCAACCCACTTTTAAAATGTCTCTTCATCTTACCCGCTCTTCTCTATCTTTCATAATTCAATTCTCTTCTTTTAATTATTCTCTCAACTTACCCATTTCTCGCCTTTTGCGCGCTATCATACAACGCCTACAACTAACAAAAGGAGTTTTTCATTTTGTAAGCGAATGGGCCATGTTCTGATAAAATTATAATTATCAATTCTTATAAGAAAAAAGTTAATGTATAAATATATATTATTCTATGCATTTTCCACTTATTCCAAAAATCGGAGAGCATCTTATTCTGAACTTATTCTTCTCAAGTATTTGGGTTAACCGATTATACGGAGTTTGTTCTCAATTTATTTCCGTATAAGTTTGAAATTCCGGGAGTATTTTGATTAAAATTAGAAGAAAAAAAGTTAAGAACCACCCTAATAATTTGTGTGAAATACTCTCGGACCGCGTTATTGTATAGATTTCGCAAAGCAAAATAACTTCGATGATAAAATAACTGGTAAAAACTAGAAGTCTCGATTAAAAACGCGAATTAATTAATAAAAGACTACGTGAAAACGAAGTTCGTATACACGTGAATGAAAAATAAATTCTCGGTTAGAGTTAGGTGTTCACATGTTTTAGTGTTATTCACGTGAATATGTATAGAAAAAATATGTGAATATACGTGTTCACGGATTTTTTTTACGGTTTTGTATAGGTTCCAATGTTAATTTCACGTAAAGGCGTGAAAACATGTACTCGTAAAATCGGGATCTCTATAGTAAAAATAAAAAAATCGTCCGGTAATTAATTGCACGCTGCCGTTTAATTATTATATAATATTAATATCACGTAGCTCACGTATTACACTTTAATAATAATATCGAACGCGTAGTTTCGAACGAACGCAAAGACAAGCCCTGGCGTAACGGTTTTAATGGAATATTTTTAGTATAATAATATTAGAGGTATCGCCCGCGCGAATATTATAATAATATAACATTATTATTATGAAAACCGTGGAAATGACTTTTCGGAATGCAAAGGAAATGGGAAGAAAACCCTCCGGTGGCAGTAATCTCGTGGGTTTATTAATAAATAATTGTTTTGGGGGGGAGGGAGTTTTATAGAAAAATCGAGGTAAAACTCGCGCGTGTATTAATCGTGTTTCCGGACTTTTCTCCCGTTTCCGCGGTGAGTCGTAATAAAACGATTTCGAGTTTTAGACCGCATTATATTCTAGAGGGAAACAGTTTGTGGCGTGATCGATGAGATTATAGAGCTGCTGCGACCGGTACAAACCAACGGCGGCGGTGGAACGTCGACTGTCAGAAAACTCGCAGTACATCATAATAATAATAATAATAAATAAATGATAAAAATAAATGTATAATTGCTCATCGGACGGTAGTAATGAAAAAAAAGATTTCCAAAACGTATAGCTTTATATGAAGTATATTGAAGAGGATAGGATAAGTACCGCATGATATTTTCTTTATCTATTAGTGGCCAACACACTATGTACACGATTAATAGCGTGGAAATTCATACCGATTTAACATAATTCAATAAATAAAAAAACTATTTATATATAATTAGCGCAATAAGTATTCCGATATCGGATTTGGATTCTTCTTAGTGTTATAGTATACCCTCGAGAGATCAGTTTTACCACTTTTCAATATTATGACCGAAACAACGAATGTACGGATTTTACTATGATGTGTTGTCCGTTAACTATTTTTTACCTAAAATATTTTTTTAGTGTAAATAGTGTTACAAGTTTAGAAAACCTAGATATGTCATGAAATTCAGCATTAAATTAGAAACTTCCTAGGATTTTCAAAACTTAACATTTTATGATTATGTCAGGTTAGGTTAGTTTTACACATATTTTGTGTCGCTGAAGTAAAAGAAAACAATTCTGTTGGTTTAGGATATTGTAATTTTATAATATTTATAAAATGTATTGAAACATGATACTAAAATATTACTGATTTGGTGTTCTTACAGAAAGTACAGGACGTTGTTAATCACTTGGAATCTGTGAGAGTCCATCACTCGCCGGACAAACTTTTTGAAAAACCGCCACAACAAGATCACGGCAAACCGTCGGATAACACCTGTCCAGTTATACATGCGCTTCCTGATTCTCTCGGTGCTCAACACATTGACCTAACCTCAACACAGGTCGTCCACGCCGAACGGAAGCCGTTGAACCCAGCCGTGAGCCTTCTGCGACACCAGGAGCAGGAGCATCGGAACGGTGGTGCACAAACATCTTCGACCAGCGCATCAGAGGACTACGGTTGGGAAGCCATGTTGCAACAGTACCAACAGCAACCAGACTACACTCCGTACGGTGGTTACGGTGTCCAACCGAACTCCGGTTACTTCAACTACGCGGCCACCGAATCTTCCTGGTACGGTTCGCCGTCGTCGGTCGGTGGCAGTGGCGGCGATCACACGCTTATGGTAAGTCACAGCATTATAATGTTTTCGTGGAAAGTCGGGTTATACCTGGTATGAGGTTGGTTTATGTTGATTATTTGGGGTGGCAGATTATCCAACCAATTTGTGTTTGTGCATGAAAAGTGGCGACAAATCATTGGATTGTAAAAGAAAACTTAATTATACCAAAAATAGCAGGGACCAATATATTTTTCGTGTAGGATATGTTAAGTCAATTTTTCTAATATTGAACATGTCATTTCAATATGTGTTTTAACGTTTTAACAGATTTTTCTGTTTTTAACATTTTCTTAAGAAATCGGAACAAGTTTTCTGTTCAAAAAAATGCTTAAACACAAAAAAAAAAATAGTAAAACCAATAGAACCTACGCACTGAATCTAAACCAAGTCATTATTTTTTTAACTGTGATTTTGTTTTCGTAAATTTACATTATATTATAAAAATTATCCAGTCCTTTAGATTTTGAGTGTACTGAAGAATGTATTGGCTTTACAAAGGTGTTTATTTTTTTTATTATTTAAACAATTTTTCTACCAAAAAAGAGCTTACTCCGATATATACGATATAGATCCTTTTCTGAAAGGAAATTTTTTGTGGTGGTACTTTAGGGTTGTCATTTTTCGATTTTCTCAGGAGTTTTCTCATCAAATGTGAAAGACCTAGGAAAAACAGGAAAATGTACGAAATATATTGGTAAAATATTACAGTTTTGTTTCTATAGACAACTTTACTATCAACAATTTTGCTCTGATTTACAATGATAGCACTTTTTCTGAAAGTAGATCTGTCTAAGAAGGTACTTTAGAGAGATCATTTTTTGATTTTTCCAAGAGTTTTCGCAGCAAATTTTTTAAAAACCGTGAAAAACATAGGAAACCCGAGAAAAACGGAAAAATCGGTACAATATTAAAACAAATAAAAAAATAAAAAAAATATATAATGCCTATTTAATTATTTTACCATATGGCATATATACGTATTGTTGACAAAACATCACTATCAACTGAACTTCGCTCAGAGTCGTTTTTAGTAAGTAATACCTAGTTTACAATCAGCCCACTTCCGTGGCAGTCAGCAGAGAAGCGAGCATAAAAATGGACAGCGCGAGTATGTAAACACGTCACTCGCGCTGATGATCATGCTCCTCGCACTGACGCTGCCCGACGCTCCCGTCTAGTAGAGCGGTAAACTGAGCAGCGCGAGCAGCAAAATAACCGACAATGCGATCAATCCGGTCAATTGCTGCTCGCGCTGCTATAATTAGCAGGGCAATGTAAACACTCACTGCCGTCGACGCTGTCGCAGAAGTATTTTGAGGAGTAAATACGGCAGCGCGAGTAGCGATGGCAGCGGCTGAATGTAAAATAGGTATAATAATTTATCTTTGTTTACGGATACAAATTAAATTCCCCTCTATATCCTATCTTCAAAACTTCCTACTTACAAGTAGTAAACGAATATTTTTCTTTGGTGTTACTATGATTTTACTATGCCTTTTTTTTTTTGTCTGTAAACAACTCTCCGAAAAGAAATACTCCGATGTATAGTAAACCTAAGCTACAAAATAGACGAAACTCACATTTCGGAAAGGTATAAAAAAAAGCGTAATTAGTTTATTTTAAATTTAGAACCTATCCCAGTATTTTTGTACATTTCATTTATATATTGTGTTACATTAAAATAATTAACAATTTCATTATTGGTAAAAAGGTTAAACCATTAATCTGCTGTCATCAACCATACTGCAAAAATGATAAAAATTATCAGTGTTTTTTATTTATTTTTTTTGTAAGCCTAACTCCTTTGTAGTTTTCTGTTAGTGTTTATATAATATTGTTCAGCTATATATTGTATAGCTTAACTTACTCAAAATCCAATTTGATTATCTGTGAACTGTGAATTAGGAAATAATTATTTTTTGGAACATGTATTCAAAATTTAAGTAAACAAAATATTGTTATAAAACATCATACTTTTTAGTCCTGATAACATACTTTTAAATAAAAGTTCAGGACTCAATGAGAACTTTCATCGCAGGTCCACGAATCTACCTTTTGTAAATCAAGTCGCCGCCCTTCGTCTAACGATTAAATAATATGGTTATCGGAGCTTTAATTATCATATAATAAACACCGTTAATCATTGTACAGCGCCCATTTATCTGCAATAATATGTTTTGATAAATATATCGGTTTTTAGGATTACCCTTAAATTTCTGACGCCTCAGAGTTCTTTTAATTGTCTTTTCATTAGGTAGGAAATAAATGTCATTATTTTAACGAACTAATGAATATTGTGGTACTTGATTAATAACTTTCGAAGATATTTGTGAAAGAATCTAAACATTATTCGCCATATTATCTTGAATTTTTCGAATAAGGCCATGTTCATATCGACAGAATGAGAGTGTTCTTTTACTATCTTTGGATTTTCATAATCTTATTTTAATAATGGTTAGTGAAAAATAATATACGGGGAATAGGTGCCTCTGAGCAAATACAAGACTTGTGCTCAGTATTAAATAATATATAGATAAGTACCAGTTTTATCCTCGTAAAACCAAACAAAAACTAAAAAGCTGTCCTAGAATATTGGGGACGGGTCACGGGTACAGTCATTGTTATAGGTGAGAAGTTGGAAAGGTAGAAGAGGAGAAATTGAATGTGCTTTTAACATGTTTTTTTTTCGTTTTTTCCCATTCATTATGAAAATCAAAAAAATAACCTCCCTAAAGTACCACCCCAGTTAGATTTCCTTTCAGAAAAGTGCTATCATTGTAAATCGAAGCAAAATTTCTGTTAAAAACCACCGGAAAAAAAAATAAACATTATTGTTTACAATGAAATATATGTATGTATGTTTGGTATGTATTGGTTAAAACCAATACATTTCTCGCTCCATTCAGAATCTAAAATTATCTATCAGTATTTTAATTATTTCAATAATAATTCGACAGTTAACGTTTTTTTTATTTTTGGTAATCCATTATTTAGGGAATTCCGCATTTTTTTCGATAAGGTAGCTTATTGAGTTAAAGAATAGAGCTACAGGTGGGTGTACAGATGATCAGTAGTTAACATAATAACACACTGCGAAAATCCTATTTGAATTTCCTACATGATTTTTTTTTATTTCTTATTACGTATCTCTAAGTACATATTATACGCATAACTAACAATATTACAAACAGGCATGTCCTGTTGAAAAGTGATAAGAAATATTTAAATCTTATTTAAAGGTTATGTTCGGTTTATTTAAATTATATAGGTTTAAATTTTTTTTCTGACTCGCCGCTCACCAATTTATACGCGACCCAATAGTTTTTTGGAAGAAGTAATAATTATCCTAAATACATATATCTATCATGTAAAGTTTATTCTTTTTTTTCTGTGGAAGTCTGTATAAAACGAGTAAAGATGTGAAATATTGGTTTATGGAGTGACCTAGGGAAATGGGGGAGGGTATCTGGTTATACTTAAATTTTCTTTTAAATCTATACAGACTTACGTCAAAATATCGTTTCATATTTGCATTTAAATTTGTATATTTCAGCATGGTGGTCTATCGCATAACTCGTGCAACACACATATCGGTGACAGCGCCGGAAACTTCCTGAACCATGGTTATCATCAGACTACATCGACAGGTTAATAATTTCGTTCTCTCTTCTATACGATAAGCTCGTATTTCTAGTTTCCGTTATTTTCTGCAATATATGACGTTATCTGTATGCGTGTGTTATAGCGGGAGCGACATCGTCTTCAGCTGAATCGTTTGCCGCCTCAAACAACCATCCGGGCGTATCCGGGGTCAACATGGATCCCATGGCTGACTTTTTAGGAGGTCACCAAAACATGAACGAAACCGATAAGATCATCAAGGTAATTCAACGTAAAAATGAAATAAAACAAATTTTTTAATAATAATACTTTCCATTTCCTATTAATTGCATTTGTCGCACACAATTTTATATTTTGTGTTATTTCCATTATTTCTTTGTCCTAGTCGTCTAAGGTGTAAAGTTCTGTTCCGTCATCATGTCCGTCGTTCTTATCAGTTAATTATCTATTCCATCATCGTGTATTGAAACACAATTTTCATTTTGGATTTTTTTTTTTTTTTATCCGGATCCTCAGGAGGAATCGATCGATTGGCTCTCGACCATCATAAATAACGATGAAGTCGACCAACAAGGTAACCGTCAAGACCTTGGTGAAGGGGGTGGCGGTAGTAGTGGTGGCGGTGGCAGCGGCAACGGTAAACTTGCAGTCGGTGACTTACCGCCGCACAAGGGCGGCCAAGAATCTAACGGCCGGTTGCCTAACTTCCATCAAGCATTTGGGTCCACCGAAATAGGCAGGTTTTCACAGCACGAATACTATGAACCACCTAAAGACACTGATCAAATCAGCGGCGAATGTCAGGGGCAACAGGGGCCAACCAGAGTGGCCGGGGGCACCGGGGTGGGACGATCCGAAGAACATCAGCAGCCGTCTACGGTTACGTTCGAACCACCTCGGCAGCAGAACAGGCGGGGCCGGACGCAACGCGGTGGCGGGCAGCACAGGCGCAACAGCAAGCAGACCAGGACAGCAGTCGCGGCCGCTGCAGCAGCCGCCGCGGCTGCCGCCCAACAGTACGTCGGTGGTTACGACGTGACCGGTTCGACGATGGTTACGGGTACCGGAAGGCATCAACATCAAATGCCGCCGTACCATCATCATCATCACGACCCGTACGGTCGTAACCAACAGCATGCTCATCAGCGGTACCATCACCAGGAATACCATCATCATCACCAACAACCGCCACCGTCTCCGTCGTATCAACATCACCAACAAGAGTATTACCCCCGGCCATATGACCGGATGCATCATGGCTACCAACAACAACAACAACAACAGCAACTGTTACCGCCGCAACCGTCGACAAACCATCAGTCTTCGTACTACAACAATAACCGTGAACAGTCGTACACCGGCGGCGGTGGCAGTTATAACCGTTTTCATTCGTGTTGTTCCACCGAGCATAGTAGCATAGCCAGGCCTAATCATCACCACAACTACGGCGGCGGTGGCCCAGGCCAGTACTACGGTGATTACAACACTAGCTATAGCCAATGGTGAGAAAGCGGAAAGCATGCCACTCGCCACCCCTGTTTCACATTCTCCGCAGCAACAGCAAAGGCCGCCATGCCTTACTCTCACCTCCCCATCCCTCTCTAAAAATAAGATATATTTTTTAATATTTTTAAGACGACGTCGTATTTATATATAAACAAAAAAAAAAGTTTCGCGTACCGGGCAGGTGTACACTCCCTCTCCTCTAAAAAAAAAAAACACGTTTGTTACAAAGTTATATTGTTATATTAAATTACATACTATCTGTGATACGACGATGGTAACGTGTACGAATATTTTGCAAAAAAAAAAAAAAATGTAATACTTTTATATTATATTATTGTGTATAACGTCTCGAAATTCGCGGCTTAAATTATTTTAAATAAACTAGGGAAAGTTTTTAAAAAAGACGCAACGAGTCAATTAAAAAAAAAAAAAATGTGGTAAAAAGACATTTCCGATTTATTTTCTTCTTGTTTTCTGTGCGCGCACCGCGAAAAACACCCGGTGTGTAAAATATATAATAAATAAATTAAAGTTATTTAATTTATTACGTATTTGTAATAAATGTACGGTATTATCGAACGAAATCGCGGCCGTTGTCGTCGTACGATAGTACGTCATCAAAACGCTTGATCGCGGTTTAGGACCAAAAATAATTATTACGCGTACCGTTTTAGTGACGCCGAAAAAAATGGCTGGTTAATTTGTTTCTCGGCAGAAATTTACGTCCATGTTTAAAATATCCAAAACCTCTTAAGAAGAAGTTGACCGCAGAGAGGCTTCCCATAGGGAGACCTCAGCTGCGCCGAGTCAGAGTGTCCGATTTTTCATCCGAGAATAAATCGTCTTTTTTTTCATCCACGACGTTGGCGGTCGCGTTTCCCGTTCGGTTATTGTATATTATACTTACAAGTTTAAATTTTAAAACAAAAAAATTACATAGTTTTTAAGTCGTTGTGCCTTATTAATTAACGGTTAATATTTTTTAAAAATAACATTATAAATGCATCGGTAATAATTTTGTTGTTCAATACCTATGAAAATTACAAAATATTACGTTATAGTTTAAATTATTATTTGTATAATTGTATAAAAAATAAAAATATATCGATATAGCGTGTTATGTTTTATTAAACGTACCACCAAATTTCGAGGTCCTTCCCCACCTACATATACACCGAAGTCCGGCAGTTTTATATAAATATATTATGTTTTTATTATTATTATTTTTTTTTTTTTTTTCATTAAGTTTTCTGTTTTGTTAAGATTTTTTTCGTTTTTTTGATTCCGTTTGTACGCGTGTTATAATATTTGTTGTTTTTTTTTGTCGTACTCGGGGTCCGGTATAAATATAAGGATACGCGATTTGAATAAAAAATAAACCTCCAAAATCGATTGTCCTATAAATACCTATACATACTATACACTATTTATTTTTTTTTTTATTTTTTTTTTTAATTATCCTACTAATATTAGAGTTTTCCGATTTGTTCGTATTTTATTATTATTATTACCTATATATTTTGTTATTATTATTATCTTTATCATTATTATTATTATTATTATTATATTACATGTAGTCTTCCCGAGTTACATGGGTGTCTCCGGCGCCGGTTATTCGATATTCGTTATTAGAGCTTCCCTCTACTACCCCTCTGCTCTCCACCCTCCCAGTGACCTCGACCATAATATTATTATTATCATATTATTATCTATATGTTACAAGGGGAATGTCGAACCCGGCCAGTATAGTGTTATTTTATTACTATTATATTATAATTATATATAATATAATATTTTTTACGAGACGGACAAAACTGTTTTTTGTATATATATATAATATTTATATTTATTTATATATATTATATACGAAATTTAGGCTCAACTATTACGATGTACACACGGACCAATAGTATAAAATTGTAATATTATTAAAAATATAAATTATTTAATATTCTGTACAATTTTAATTTTTTTTTTAAAAAACGGGTTTTCTATCGCTGTGATGTGTAAAAATGATATTTCTATACCTATTATAATTATGTATGCGAGTAATATATTTTATTTATTAAATTAACGAAATATTTAATAATATAATAATAATATAATATATAGATCCGTTTTAGTAAAAGAAAAACAGGTCGTTGTTTTGTTTTTTTTTTTTTTTAATGTAAAGATTTTCAAGTTTTCAGCCCCTGAAGATTAAGAAGAAACTTCGTCGTCATCGTCGTCATCGGTATGCGTGTGAACAGATTCGCCTTTCTATATTTTTACCTCATGATTCTTGCGATTTTAAAGTTTTTTGCCTTACCCCTGAACCCCTGCCGAAACCATCTTTGAGTGAACTAAGAACTATTTTTTTTCTTATCATAACTGAAATACCGAAACGACCGACCGCACCGCGACCCTTTTCGGCACCGAACTCTGTGTGTAATGCGAGTGTTGATGGTTTTTTTTGTGTTTTTTACGCGATCGATATAATACTGCACACCTATTTTGTTTTTTTCTCTGCTATCATAACACTCAGCCACACAATACCCACACGATAATAATATGATTACATACAGCAAACGAGACGACGACCGGCGACGAAACTATGTTATAATAATATTATGTTATCGAGTCTGAATAATCGAAATCGTCAAAATATTATATTATATTCTTATTGTTTTTACCAGTATATTACTTACTATTATCGTTTTATTCATAATATCATAATGTACACTTACTGTTTATATATTATAAAATATTATATAGGGTCGTCGTCACCTATATATAATATTGTATTATTTTTTAAAAAACGGCGTTGTTAACGTTATCACTATTATATTCTCATTATTATTATTGTTTTTAAGTTTTTCCCCTACCTATATATCTCCGGCTCTGTCTCTCTCTCCCTCCCACTCTCTCCCTCTCTCTCTCTCTCTCTCTTTTTAGGCATATTATAATATAGGTAAACAGTTTGAATATTATTTGATTATAATTAATAAATACTTATATATTGTTTGTTTTTAATAAATTGTTTATTTTTTATGTTATATATTGTATATTTCAGAAGACTACACTACGCCATCATTATTTAGTTAACGACACGGAATAAAAATGTATATCGCGATTATTATTACCATCATATTATAGAAGAAAATGTATAAACAAAAAAAAAAAATTAAAAAATTAAGCTGAATAATATATGTCGGAACAAACAGAACAAAACACAATTCGATCGTTCAGTTATTACGGAATATTTAAAAAAAAAAACCGTTTGGGATTGGTTTTTGCATAACGTTAATAATTTATTGATATATATATAATATGATAGGTCGCATGTTAAATTGTCATATTATATATTATAATATATAGTTATTGGATCATAAAATATATTATAACCTTTATTATATTGAATATACTATATTGACTTTTGTAAAAAACAAACGAAATAAATACATATTATGTTACTGTATATATTTTAATTATTTATTTATACCTGTACAGCTCGTGAAAAATCTCCAATGAAGTGACTTTGATAGGACTTTTAAATAAGATAACAGGTAGATTTTTAAACCAAACGTAATTTTAGAGGGAACTATTGGTTTTACTAATATGTTTATTTTTTTTTTTTTTCTAGTTTGTGGACACGTTTTTTCCTAGTAAACTTGCTCCGAATTTTACGTGGAACAACTTTTTTGAAAGCTCAAGTTGTTTGAATTGTACTTTGAACAGGTCATTTTTTTATTTTCTATGCAATTTTTTAAATAAAAGCACATAAGTGGGAAAAACCGTAGGAAAACTTCCAATTTCACGATTTCATTATTTCATAAAAATACAGACGACGTTTTCTACCAGAAAAAATTATTTAATTGAAAAATCACAAGACACCTTTTTTTTTGCTTTTTTGATTTACTTTCTTAAGGTATCGTCGCCAAAACTTTTAAGCTACTTTTGAGCTTTTAAGAAATATTCATTTTTGGGAGTTTTTTGCTTTAATTCGGTTATAAATACACGTAGAGACTTGAAACTTGGTAATAATACTTATATTAGACTTACCTAGACTTGGTAAAATTTCCAAAATGATCGGACGACATTTTTTAATAAGCATTTTGAAATCAAATTTAAACGAAAATCGCAAAACTTATGTATTACTGAACTGCACTCCTTAAATCGTCTTTCATCAACCAATGGTTTATCGTTACTTACAGATATAAATGAAATAATCTTACGATCTTACCTTTCCAACTTCTCACCTACAACAGTGGTCGCATCCGTCCCCAGTATGAGTTCTTTTTTTATATTCAAGTATTATGAAATCAATTAAATTAATATGAACAATATCTTCGGTGCAAATTACAACAGTAGATTTTTACTACTGATTGTATCAGTAGGAAATATCACGATTTAGTTGATTTTCAACCAATAAAAACGTAATATTTTATAAATTATATAAAAAAATGTAGCCCACAAACAGGTAAAATAAATTATTGCAATAAAAATCAATCTAGCCCTTCCCTCCATTAACAAAGGCGTCCCATTCTTCGATACCTACTATATATTATTACTGTTTAAAATACGGTAAGACATATCTACTTTGTACAATCGGTAAGTCTAAGTTAGTTTCACACGAAATAAAAATGATTATGCTGTAGACGATGTTTCAGAAAAACTAGTCGAGACTCTAGAAAAATGTTTCGAATACAGTACCGCCGCCAAGCGGAAATTCTGTCAGAGTCTTTTGAGGTAAGGCGTGAAATAATCTGAGCATTTAAAGCTGTGTTTTACAGAAGTTAATAGTATGCCAAGGGTGTCCTATACGAAGAAAAATAATGTAATATTTAAGTACGGGCAAGGAATGTTGGTGTAATTTGGGGAGGGAGAAAGAAAATACAATGGAATCTCGATGAGTCGAAATTCAAGGGAAATACAATTCTTTCAACTTAGAGTTTTTAATTAAATTATATATGTACGTATTATATTTTTAATTATTATGTAGTGAGTATATAATATGTACA